ACCTCAGCGTCGAGACGTCGTACCTGCAACATGAAAGTGGGCGCGTCAGCACCAAGTTTGACTTTGTCCCCAGCCCTGGGAACCATTTCATCTGGTAAGGGAGGGCAGGGGGAAGGCATTCTGGGGACTGACTCTTGTTTTAGCAAGGAAGCTCCAACCTGAGGGGCCCATGGAGGTAGTCAAGAGGATCCTGCCTCTTCCTTGGGTCTGGATCAGGGCAGGAGCTTGAGAGTAGTGAGAAGAGTCTGTTCACCAGTGTGAGGTGATTTCTTTATTCAAGATGAGTGTTCTCCTTGATGGACGAACTGGGCTGGGTGCAGCTGAATGGTGTTGGACCACCATCCCCCAACCCTGTCTTCCCACCCCAGGTATCGCAGGAAGTGGATTCGCATCGAGCGCAACCGGGAGAAGCAGATGATCGACCTGCACACAGGGACCCCCTGGGAGTCGGTCACCTTCACTGCACTGGGCACTGACCGGGAGATCTTCTTCAATATCCTCCGGGAAGGTCTGTAGGGGAGCCGCGTGGGATCCTGCTGGGAACAGCCTGCTCCCTGGAGATGCTCAGGGCTTCACGGGAGATCCTTTTCCCTGCCAGCTGTGCCCTCTGCCTCTCTCTGCAGCCCGGGAGCTGGCGCTGCAGCAGCAGGAGGGGAGGACGATCATGTACACGGCCATGGGAGCAGAATGGCGGCCGTTCGGCTTCCCCCGCCGGCGGCGGCCACTCAGCTCCGTGGTGCTGGAGGAAGGTGTGTCAGAGAGGCTGGTCCAGGACGTGAAGGAGTTCATCGACAACCCCAAGTGGTACAGCGAGAGAGGCAAGGCTCTGGTGTGGCATCCTCTGTACCGTGCCCAGCGTGGCTCCTTGCCCATCCCCGCAGCCACAGCTGTGGGGCACCACCTTGGGCACATCCCGCAAACGAGCAAGCCCAAGTGCTGAGGTCAGGCCTGAGACTGCAAAGGGACAAACTCCCCTCGCTTCAATCCAATCCTGGAAACCGTGATAAGCCACGGGGCTCATTGCTCCTGCAACGCTGCTGTGGGGTGGGATAGGATGCCCCTGGTCCCCTCTGGAGATGGCTGCAGAGAGATTTTTTGCCCTGCTGCTTGCCTTCCCCTGCTGTAGCCTTTATGCGTGCTCAGCACAGCCCCTCTGCTCTGTGGGAGAGTGCTCAGAGCAAACGAGCTGGTTTCTAAAAGGACACTGTCTTCCTAGGGATCCCCTACCGAAGAGGCTACCTGCTGTATGGTCCTCCCGGCTGTGGGAAAAGCAGCTTCATGTGAGTATTGCCGGCTGGCTAACAGCACCTTTCTTGCCCGCTGCCTGCTCTGGGGCACAGCAGCCTCTGCTGAGAGGGTGTGGATGAGTTTGCATTTGAAATGAGTTTGGATTTGAAATGCAGGAGTGGGCTGTGCCTCCTGTGCGGTGCCTGGTGTAAGTGTTTATGCTGCTGGCACCGTGAGGAGCCCTTTGCACCCATGCTTTGCACAGCACTGCGTGGCCCCAGCGGGCTGAGCAGGGGCTCCCACCCGCCCCCCATATCTGATCCCCACCAGGGAAAGGTGCCTCTGCCCTCTTCCCTGCTGCTGGGCAGGGAGATCTGGTTCTTCCTCTGCTCTGGGCTTTCTCACTGTGATTCACTGCTGTGGTTTGTGCCCTTCCCAGCACAGCCCTGGCCGGGGAGCTGCAGTACAGTATCTGCCTGCTGAGCCTCAGCGACCGCAGCCTCTCCGATGACCGGCTCAATCACCTCCTGAGCGTGGCACCGCAGCAGAGCATCATCCTGCTGGAGGATGTGGATGCTGCCTTCGTCAGCCGGGACCTCGCTGCTGAGAGTGAGTGGTGCCCCTGTTCCTCTGCCAGCAGCGGGAGGGACGTTTGCCAGCTGTGCTGGGGAAAGGTTTGGACTCTGGGCTGCTCTGCTGCAACAGCAGAGACCAGGAGTGGGCAGCTCTCTGGGGGCTTGGGGCCCAAGCTGTACCTTGCCCAGTTTTGGCTAGGCTATATAAAGGGAAATTTTGGGTCCTTTATCCTCAGGCAAAGACACTTCTCCTGCCCATCTATTTTCAGCATGAGGGAGGAGGTGGCTTTCCCCCTCATTCTGTTTTTGGGTTCCCAGGGTTGCAGGTGGGCAGGAGGTGAATGTGCTGCCAGCCAGGCAGAGGCAGAAGGTCAGCCTCTGGGCAAGGAGAGAGCAGGGAGCCTGGCTTAAGCCTCGGGTGATAGGGAGGTGGCCCACAAGTTTGCGTGGGGTTAGTGGCCAGCGGATATGATCTCAGACACCTCTGTCCCCAGACCCGGCTGTGTACCAAGGCATGGGGCGCCTGACCTTCAGCGGCCTCCTCAACGCGCTGGATGGTGTGGCCTCCACAGAGGCCAGGATTGTCTTCATGACCACCAACTACGTGGACAGGTCAGAGCTGCTCTCTGGGAGGGAACAGGGAGGGTAGCACAGGAAAGACTTGCTCCCTTTTGACATGCTTTATGGAGAGCTGTTTGCATCCTGCAGCGTGAAGACTGGGGGTTCAGGTTTCCCGAATCCTCCCTTGGGATGCAAATCCCTTGATTGCTAATCAGGATCCCTTTTGCTGGAGCCTCGGATGCTTCCTTGCTGTTCAGACCATGGTTGTGCCCTTCAGGAGTGGTACCACCTTCCTGCCCATGGGGATCTGCAGGTTTTGGGGTTGTGGCCGTGCTGCGAGTGAAAGGCCGGCCCCATGTGCAGCCCGTTGGGTGGGCAGGGTGCTGGCTGGGCCAGACGCTGCCCCATGGCAGGCTTGGCTCACTCCAGGCTGTGCTGGCCTAGGGGGTTGTTCAAAGATTGCTCATGGGACAGAGGTGGGCAGAGCTGTTTCGCAGGACACGCTCGTCCTCCTCCAGACCCAGCCCTTCCCCAGCTCTCTTGCTTCTTTTGGGTTGATTTCCCCCCTCAACCCCCTAGGGACAAACCTCTTCCCCAGCTTTACCATCTCACAGTGCAGAGCACCTTGCGGATAGGATGCTGGCTGTGCTAGCGTCGGGGGGGAGGGCTTCCTGCAGGACCCATCCTGCAGTGAACACTTCGATCAAGTTTTCAAGGCCCCCCTGTGCCCCTCGACAGGCTGGACCCAGCCCTGGTGCGTCCCGGCCGCGTGGATCTCAAGCAGTACGTGGGCCACTGCTCCCGCTGGCAGCTTGCCTGCATGTTCCAGCGCTTCTACCCTGAGCAGCCCCCGGCTGCAGCCGAGCGGTTTGCGGAGCAGGCGCTGGCAGTCTCCAAACAGATCAGCGCTGCCCAGGTGCAGGGCCACTTCATGCTCTACAAGACAGACCCTGAAGGAGCAATTTCAAACATACGCTCCATCCTGCTGTGACCAGAGGCCAGCTTTCCCCTGCCACTCTGAGAGGACTGGGACAAGGACGTGACCATCCTGGGGATGCCACGGAGCTGCCCAGCCACGCAGGCCAGGTCTCTGTTCACCTCTCCTCATCAAGGTCTCGGCTTTTTCTTGAAACACGTGGAGAGTCAGAGCTGCCAGCCTTGCAGCAGGGAGAGGGAATCGGCTCTTGCTGCTCCCCAGACTCGGGTGCTACTGCACCGGCCCCACTCGCCAATGTGTGCCTCACGTTGGGATGGGATTGCCGTAAGCTGCCAAGGATGTGAATCCCTTTCCTTGCGGAGCAGCCTGAGGGTGTCCCAGAAGGGCATATCCCTGGGGGCAGAACACTGGAGTGCTGCAAGAGCTGCTGGTCTTCGAAGAGACAACGGTCTTCACTGATTTGTGAATATCCTTTGTGAAATGCATAACACTGCTCTTGGCTCTCTGGTCCCTTTGTATGTTAGCTGCCCCACTGCTGGTCCGGAGCCCTCCTGACCAGGGCCTGGCATGGCCAGTACTGCAAATCTAGGGTGTTTCAGGAAAAAGCAGCTCCCAAGAGACAGCTCCTTGTCCCTCTGGCTGCAGGCTGGTGTCACAGCTGTGGCTCCGCTGGGTTGCGATGCCAAATCACAGATCTGCTTGGACATCATTCCTGAGTGGGTATGACCATCCCTCTTGCCAGAAATGTAGGGCCCTGGAACTACTGCTGGCCTGCATTGGGGTGAGGTAAGAGGCTTTGGCTGGTTATAGAATATGTTCTCGAGAGCTTTATGTTAACCCCATTGTGAATTTCTGCAGCCAGGCCAGCCCAGTGCAAAGTGCAGAAATCCCTGTTGGAGGTGACAGCTCCTCTTCTTCCAGCAGGCAATGCCCTGCGTGGCTGAAGGAGGGATTTGGCCCACTGCTGGCAGTCTTGCAGCCTTTTCCCTGTCACTGGGCTTCCTTCCTGAGAGGAACAAAAGTCCTGGATGGACTGATAGAGCCACAGGTGCCTGAAATGCAATTGGGAAGTGAGCAGGTTTTGCACCTCCTTCCCAGTGCCGTGGGGTCAGGGTGTCTGTGCTGACCCACAGAACAAGCCAGCCAGAGCCTCTCCCCTCCCCAGTCTCAGCTTCAGAGTCCCCAGATCAGCTTCTCAAGCCAGCCCTGTGTAATGGCCTCACTTTGGGGTCTGCATCACCTTGGCAGGGCTGGGGGAGGTGGTACCACGCTAAACCTAAACCACTGTGACGCTGCTCAGCCCTCCTCTCGGCTCTGCCCTGCAGGAAGGGGATACAAAGGGGTGCGTGGGGATAGGAAGGGGCCCAACTGATGGCACCTGGCTGAATTTCAGCACAAACAGGCACTGCTTTGATTCAACCCTGGACATGCACAAATGTTTCTGCAAGTGAAGGGCTGATCCTGGGGCCAGGGGTGGTGGGGTGACTCAGGGTGGCTCCCCCAGCAGGGTGCTGGTGTTGGCACCTCAAACCCCATGCTCAGCCCTCCTGAAGAGGCTGACTGCTTAGCTCCTGCCTCTTCCTTCAAAGCTGAGGGTGAAAACTGGCCAGTGAGGCAAATGCCTCACAGCAGTCTGGGGATAGGTGGGGAGGGAGAGCCAGAGGGGCCCGACGCCACCACAAAAGAGCACAGACAACATCTCTCTGCTTGCTTTTAATAGTGTTAATGCTACAGACTCCCCTGGTGCCCTTCAGCCCAAGTGCTTTTGCCAGTTAAGCCTCACAACAGCCCTGTGAGGTAGGTGGGTGACACAGGGAGACACCAAGCAAGGAGCCTCAGGGCAGGGTGTAAGCTCCATTCCTCCCCTCTGACCCAGAGGTTTGTTTTGTTTAGCCCAAATTAATTTCCACCCACTGTTGCAAAGTGTCCTCTGCTCCTGGCTGACAGCAGTGAGTGAGAAAGGTGAGGGCCCTTCCTAAATCCCTACTCCCAGGAAAAAAACCCTCCCCTCTAACACATCTGGCATTTGATTGAAGTTACCCGAGTCCTTGCTCACTCTGATTTCCGTGGCTGGACTCCCATGCTCCAAACACCAGGCACAGCAGCTTTCCTGATGAGAATAAGCCTGGCTTACTGGAGGAAGTCAAGGAGCTTCAGCTTCTATAAGGGGCAGAAATCTTAGAGTTTCTTTCAGGATGAGGTCAAATGCATTTCTTGGAGCACAGCAATTTTGCAAGTGAACACAGGAGGCAGCAGGACAAGCACCAATGTCAGATAAAGTTTTTTCACCCAAGCGTGGACAGGCCATGCACCCAGGCACCAGCTGGAACAAGGACAGAGTGAGCACTGAAGAAAAACGGGCTCTCTTCATGGAGCGAGTGGTCAGCCCTTGTCCGCAGCAGGGCACAATGTCTGGTGCTCAGATTCCCAAGTCCAGGACAGATAGGCTGTAGGCTCAGACCAAGGAGGGAGGAAAAAAAAAAAAAAAAAAATACCAACAAATGCTTTTAGAGTATTAGGGTTGAAAATAAGCCAGTGTTAGAAATTGAAACACAGAAGGTTCTTCGGCAGCGGGTTAAACCAGCCCCTTCAGGACAAGGCCAAGTGTGGAGAGAGCAGGGCAGAATGTGAAGACTCAAGAGGGAGCTTTTGGTCACCCTTCATGTGCCAGAGGATCAGCCAGGCAGATGCAGCGTGAATGCCCTCCCAGCTGGCGCACTGCCCTTGGTTTCTGAATCTGGCAAGTCCATCGTGGCACAGCCATTTTTGTGCTCAGCAGGAGGAGGAGGACAATAACAACCCACATGTGGCCAAAAGAGAGGCAAGGGCACAAGGCACAAACAAGTGTGAAGGAATTAGTACTGTCTGGGTGAGCCAGACAGCTTACACCGAGCCAGGCAAAGCAGGGAGTGGGGAGCCCTCCTGCCACCCAGGAGCACGAGGGGAAGATCTCTGCTCTGGCCCCAGGTGTAGGGAGCAGGGAGGGGAGTGAGCAATACCAGGGATCAACACCTTCGCTCCCAACAGCAAAGAACAAGAGTGAGAGGGCAGAGAAAACAAAGGGAGCAGGCTCTGGAAAAGATCCAGCAAATTACTTTAATAGCAGTGTCCCACTTCAGAGACTTGGGATCACCCATTACAGCTCTGGAGTGGGACACTGTTTAAACCTGTGAAGCAGCAGCAGAAGGAACTGCACCAAATTAGTTTAAACATCAAATCCTTGTTTCTTTGAAGCAAGGTCAGCTTGAAGATGAAAGGAGGATAAGAGTATACAAAGTATTGGGGCATGTCTTCACTCTGGGCTGTTGGAAGCTTCAAGAGACAGCCTGGCCTCACAGGGGGATCTCAACACATACAGCTGACACCGTGCTCTTCCCAGGTGTCCACAACAGCTTCTGCCTGCACAAAAGCAGCTGAAGGACAGGGCAGGAGCTCCAGCTAAGTTCAGGCTACCTGGGGGAGGAGGAGCCAACCCAAAGCCGCAGCCAGCCCTGACCTGCCAATGCACTGACTTCAGCTTAATTCAGCTCTTCTGGCTGGGACTGGGAAATGTCCTGTTGTATGAAGGACTTGCCTGGCTGAACCCATCAGCTGAACGGTCAGGGCTAGAGAAGCATCGTCTCCAAGGGACAGGGACAGCAGGTGAGAAGGCATGCTGAGAAGGAATGGGGGACACAGCAAGCTGGGGTACAGCCTCATCACTTGGCACCACCACGGCTCTGCTGGGACACTGGCTTCCAGGGAAGGTCCTGCCACAACTCTGGTTCTGCTGTGGCACCATGCGGGGCTCAGTCCGTTTGCTCTGTAGGTGTGCATATTTCTTGTCAGCTCACATACAGGGATGATGGCTGCTGGTTCCTGGTCAAGGACTCCTCTGTCCCCTGGGTCTTCTGAGACCAAGGCTGACATGATCCGTCAGAAATCAGCTTCTCCAATGCTGGTGACAGCCAGTCACTCATGCCAGGATGCTTCACTCCACACTGCCTGTCCCAGGCTGTGCCACATGCCAACTGCCTCCTCCCTCCCAAGGGGTATGGTGCCTACTTGCTACTGCTCCACCAGAGCCTTCACTGTTCTCCCCAGAAATAGCTCTTCCCTCCCCCAGCCCAGCCCCTCACCACTCCTGCTAGGAGCCACTCTCCTTCTCAAGGAGATGGGCTTCTCGTCGTCCACTGGGCCTGAACACCCCTCGCCCTCTCGGTGCTCTGGGGTAGGAACCACGTTCCTGGACTCTGGACCTCTCCCACCTCCCGCAATCCCAGGGCCTGGGGTGGCCCTGCCAGCTGGGAGCTGCTCGGTGGTCACTGCTGTTGAACACCAGGTTCTCCTTCTCCCTGCCCCGGGCCTCAGCCCCCTCCTCTGGGGTCCATCTCTGCACGTCCCGGTGCTCCTCTTTCAAGTCCACTGCCTCTGTTACTGGCGAGGGATCTTCAGGGCACACCTCCTTTCTTTCAGCCAAGGTAGCAGCCTTGCTTTTGCTGTGAGGCTTTGGAAACTCCTGGCTGTGCCTCCCACCAGGTCTCCGTTCTGGTCTCCGGCTGAAGCCCCTCGGCCCCCTGGAGCCATGGAGCGGATGATAGGCTCCTTCTGCAGGTTCCTGCAAACCACTGCAGGACTGCCTGCCCTGGCCTCTGGGGCCTGGCCTCTCCCCTCTGTGCCTCTCCCTCTTGCTCTGTTGCTCTCTGGGCACAGCAGGCCGCTCGGGCCGCCCGGGTGGTTCTGCCCGGGCCTCCGGCACCCCGGCCGGCTCTGGAGCCGAGGCTTGGCTGGGCAGCTGGGGCACGTCCACAGCGCTTGCACTCACCGGCAGCTCAGAGGCAGCAGCTGCTTGGCCTGGATCGACAGCAGCTGGAGGCTGAAAGAAAGAAGCCACCGGTGAAGAAAGGGGCAGGGGAGTCCCACAGCAGACGACAGCGCTCGGTCCTGCAGTCCAGGGCCCCCCTCGCCAGCTCTCTGTCCCCAGCGCCATACCGCCTGGAGGCTGATGAAGTAACGGTTCCTCTCTGCTTCAGGGTCAATGATGCCCCCTTTCTCTTGCTGTCTCTTGAAAATTAAGTGCAGTTCTTCCTGGCGCTCCAGCGTCTTGACATCCGGCCTGTACGGCTCCTGAGTGGCAGAAAGCGAGGCGGGGTAAGGGCTCGCTCAACACCTAGCATGGACAGGCAGCTGGCAGTGCCAAGAGCTCCTCCCCAAACCCTCCTTTGATCACACAGTGCCCAGGCTACGTGCTTCCCTTTGCCACATTTGACCAGGCCTACTGATGTACCCAAAATCCCTAGAGAGAGGTAGAGCATGCCAGCACAGACCCACTGTTCCCACTGCAGGGACTGCATTGGGACGTCCTGCTGTGGGGCAAGGTGCAGAGCAGCTGCACTCAGGTCACTCTCCTGATCCTGATTATACCCCAGCGAGTACAGGGACATACCCCATGGCAGAATCGCCTCGCCCCCAACACATCTGCTCAAGACTCGGGGCTATACAACTAAACCTGCTCTTTGCAGACACATCAAAGAGTCAGGAGACACCCTGCTTGGTTTTGTGAGCTGCCCTTTGGATGGGCTATCTAGGAGGACCCGAGAGTGTGTGTTCATTCATCTGTTATAATGTCCCAGCTGAAGCTGTGCAGCTGGGCAGGTGAGCCCCCATCTCTTACCAGCGGGTGCTGCGGGGGTGGCGCTGCCTTCAGAGCGCTGAGATCGTAGACCAGGGTCTCCCGGCAGACAGGGCACTGCACACCGACCTCCTGCGGGGAGGCAAGAGGTGATACCAAACCCCAGTAACGACCCAGCTCACGCACTGTTGGATAACTCCAGCCTGGAAGCGGAACAGGGTGGCCTTCTTCACTCTCCTGCCAGCGCAGGGAAGCCCAGGGGGGGTTCCAGCAGCATGAAAGCAGCTTGGTGTCTCAGTGACTGCTACGGACGGTGTCTCCACCATGTGGCACGCTGGGATTTGTGCTCCAGCGGCTGACCGCTGTACAAACCACATCTGTCAGTGCGTATGGCTTCAGTCCTAGAATCTATTTTTCTCCACTCCAAAGTGGAGCGTGTCATATTGGCAGCAGCTCTTTGAAAGGGTTTTGCAGGAAGGAGCCTTTGACCTGTTTCACGCTCAGCAGTGCTGTTTGCTTTGTGGCTGACAATGGTTCCAACACCTGCTCAGGCAGGTTTTATCAACCCAGAATGCAGGTGATCCCATTCAACATGCTGCAAAACCCTGCAGTTCAAGGACTAGGGAAGGAGCTCTCTTCTAATTCCTGTGGTTCCAGAAATCCAAAGATGCTACTCCCCTGCCCCCTCACACAGCAGGCACTGACCCAGAGATCCAATAAACCAACTGCTAAAGTACTAAAAACCCACAGGGTAATTTTGGTTGGGAAGGGCCCTTGGAGATCACTTGGCCTAACCCCTGCTCTGCTTCTCAGTGCAGGCATGACACTGACAGTGCTGCTGGGTCAGGCTAGCCCTCGCTCCATGTCCCAAAGGGGGTGACAGAGCTGTCGTGATGGCCTGTGCAGGGGACCAGGGGAGGGAGCCCAGGGCCTGGTACCTGTTTGGGGGATGGCGTCAGGTGCTGCTCTCTCTCCTCCTGCTGCATGAGGATCTCTTCCTCCATGTGCTGGGCGTAGCGGGCCAGGCAGTGGGAGTGGAAGTAGTGGTAGCACTGGGTCTTTGTGAACACTTCTCTCTCCTGTAGAGAACAAAGGGCAGCTTTAAATGGTTTCTGAGCTCAGGGTTGTACAGCCTTGCCAGCTGAGGTGGGTTTTCACTCCCATGTCAGTGCTGGCAGTGAGGAACTAGTGCTACTGCTGGCGGAGCCACATAACATCTTCTGACGGGCTTCATCTCTACTTCCTCAGCTCTTACTAGGACACTGCTCCCTATTCTGAGTGTGGGAAACACTCCTAATGTCAAGATGCAAAGTTTTTGTGACCGATTTCTCTGCACGTGTTCCTGTGCAAGCAGCAATCTTCCCACCTGATGTATTCTCCTTCCTAGGCAGACACTGCCTCTGCCTCTCCTTGCAGCCCAGGCAAGGCAAGCTCCCCTGTCCCCGCAGACCTCAGCACCTGCACAGATGTGTTCCAGTCCTGCCTGGCCACCTGTGTGCTGAACTCCAGGTGAGGTTTCACCAACACAGGGAAGCTGATATGCAACAGCAACTATCCCCAGACCCCACCTGCTCCTTCGGAGATGCTCCAGCATCACTCGCTGCCCCGATGCCCTATTCCTGTAGATGGTTATCTTCAGGTTGACAGGGAGTGTAGCCTATATCACCTTAGGAAGGTTCACGCTCAGTAGGGTTGCCTACAGACCAGGGGGGCAGGGGGCTGCTACAGCACATCTCAGTCCCTGGCTGATATCCTGAGCTCTGAGCCCCAGGCTCCTCGTTCTCTTGCCTCACTTCCCAACCAGTCCGGGGGGCCAGGAGACACATGCCTACCTGGAATCCATAGAGGCAGATCACGCACTGGCCGTGAGGAATGTTGTTGTCAGTGAGAATCTCCTTCCCCTTCTGTGGAAGCATCAGAGCAAACATTTTACTCACTGGCCGGTTCAGGGCTGTCCCACCCCTTGGGCAAACAAGGACCATTGCCTGTGGCTGGTCACCCCCAGTCTCCCCCAACTCTCACCTCAATCAGTTCGTAGAGCACCTCTGTCCCCAGTCTGGATTCAGCAACACTTCTGAGGGTCTGGGAAATCCTACGGCAAAGCAGCAGAAATGCTTAAGACAAATTTACCAGCACCTTTTCACCATCCCACATAGCTGTCACCCTGCCACGATGACAGGAGGAAGATACAGAGCACTGGTGTTCAGGCTTTGCCTGCAGCACAGAACGGGCATACGTGCACATACATATTCACGTGCTCTCCCAACTCCTCACAAGCTGGTGCTAAGGAAGCATTTGTCCTCAGAGGACTTGCAAGAGCTGGTTTGCTGACTGCCTCGGCTCAAGCTCACCCAGCACCCTTTGGTTTTGGTGAATCTCAGGCTTCATTTATCTTATGTCAGCTCCTGAGCAGGTCTGGTGGGAGCCGCATTACTCCCGTGCTGCTGGCAGGTACCAGGGTCTCTCTGCACACACTGCTGCACTGAGGACAGGAGCACAAAAGCAACAACAGGCTGCCCGAGGACTGGGTTCAGTCCCACCTCTGTCAAAGCAGGACCAACAGCTTCAAAGGCCCAGGAGATTTAGATTACGTTTCAGGGGGAGCACAGCCGAAAAACCATACGGTGGACCTCTCAGTTTCAAACTCAGCACCAGTGGCTCCCATGAGATTTAAGACAAGGTGATTTAGGGGCCTGTGTCCATCTGTTAACTGGACACAGGGAGCCACTTGAATTTAAGAGAAGGTTTTTCCACCAGTTCTGCCTCCTGGATCTCTGGGGGAAAGAATCACCTTCCCCCCTGCCCTCCCAGCACTCACTTTTGAATTTGCTCATCTGACAGCCCCCGCGGGTTCCTGATCGAGATTTCCGGAGCTTTGTTGGGATACTAGGAAGAAAAAGAGAAACACCCAAAGCACAGAAAAGGCGGAGTGGCCCCGGGCGGGGAGAAAAAGGGGCGCGGGGGGTCCGGCAGCCTACCTGGGGGGGCACGGAGAGGAGCAGGGTGAAGCAGACATACTGGGAGTCCTGGTCCTGGGCCGTGGCGGGGTGCAGGGTGATGCTGATCTCCCAGGGCTCCCACCTGCGGGACAGGCCGAGGTGAGGGTGGGCGACGCGGGAGCGGGCCCGGGGCGGGGGGAAGGTGGGTCGCGGTCCGTTACCTGCCGCGGCCCCGCACCACCCGCAGCTCCTCCAGGTAGATGGACTCCAGCACCTCCACCTCCGGCGGCAGCGCCCTGCGGGGACCGGGCAGGAGTGAGGGGGGGGGATACGGGACGCCGGGAACGGGGTGTGGGGGGGGTGTCTGTGTGTGTGTGTGTTACCAATCCGTCTCCTCCGCCTCCTCACCGGCCGCCGCCATCTTCCCGAGCGCCCCGGAAGCGGAAGCGGGGCCTCCGTTGCTAGGCGACGCCGTGGCGGCGGGGCGGCGGCGGGGAGCCGAGCAGAGCAAAGCGAGGTTAATCCCAGGCGGGGGGGCTGCGGGGTGTGGGGGGGGGGGGTCTCACCCGGGATTTGGGTCTCGTCCTGCTGTGAGGGAGCGGAGGAGGAACCGGTGGGCAGGGACGGAGCGGGGGAGGCACGACGATACACCCGCCTTGGGGACCGGGCCCTGGGGAGCGGGCCTTGGGTGGAGCCCCGCGGGGAGGGGAAGCCCCGGCCCTTGGGATTTGGGGTGGCAGAGGGTGCGGGCCTGCCTTGCCGGCACTGGCACTGGGGTCGGGGGGGTCGCAGCTGGGGTTGGGGGATGGTAGCCGAGAGGTCGGGGGAGAGGGCGAAGCGCTACTCCTCACCGGGCGCTTTGCCTCGGTAGCTCAGCAACCCCCTCCCCAAACGGGCGCGATGGAGAAGTACCACGTCCTGGAAATGATCGGCGAAGGCTCCTTCGGGCGCGTGTACAAGGGACGCCGGAAACACAGCGCCCAGGTGGGGAGAGAGGCGGCGGGGAGGGGGCTGGGGGTCTGCTGTGTGGTGGTGGGGATGGATTTCTGGTGGCTCTTGGGTTCTGGGGCCCTGCCAGGCCTTTGGGACTCCGCACTCATTCCTTTTTCTGCTGATGTTCCTGGCCAGCTCCTGCTGGCACAGAGTCATTCAGCTTGAAGGGACCACGAGATCTCTAGTCCATCCCCTGCGCAAAGCAGGGCCAGCACTAAATTCAGATCTTGTGAAACCTCGAGGACAAACACCTCACAGCCAGTGCTTCACTATACTTGGGGTGAATGTTTTTTCCTTATATCAAGTTGAAGCTCCCCTGTTTCAATTTGTAATGCCTGTGTCATCCTCCCATTTACTTCAGCCCCCTCACCATCCTGGTCGCCTCTGCTATACTCATTCCAGCCTATCAGTGTCTTTCTGGACCAAAAACTGGCCACAGTATTGCCAATGTGGTCTAAGAAGTTCCAAATAAAGGGCAATAATCACTTCCTTCCAACTCCTGCCTGTTGATATAGCCCAGGATGATGCTAGTGCTCCTCACTGCCGGGACAGGCTGCTGGCTCACGTTAGGCTTGCTGTCCACCAGCATCTCTAAGTCCTGTCCTGCATTTTTGACAGTTCTTTTTCCTGTGCTCAGTGATTAAGTTTCTTTGCTTTAAATGCCAGTGTGCAAAGTACTGTGAGCACCTGTACTGATGTGCAAGGGCCTGGGGGGAGTCCTAGCTCCAAGGAATCCAGTGAACAAATGTCTCATTTGGTGTGCTTGGCTAGAAAATGCTGAGTCCCTTTTGGGTTAAACACAGCCTCTGACAGGGCGGGTAGGAGCCTGGTCTGATGACAGCTTTGGTTTGTAAGGTGGTGGCCTTGAAGTTCATCCCCAAGGTGGGGCGGTCTGAGAAGGAGCTGAAGAACCTGCAGCGGGAAATTGAGATCATGAGAGGCCTCCATCACCCCAACATCATCCAGATGCTCGACAGCTTCGAGACCGATAAGGAGGTAAAGGGGACTACTATGGGCAGATGCTTTTACTTGACAGGGGCAGGGAAACAAGGGCTGTCCCCTGCAGTTGTAGGGACCTTTTCCTCAGGAGGTGCTGGTGACACCCTCCCAGGCTTGGTCAATGTTTTTCAGGGCCCTCCAGTATGTGCTGTGTGGGGAGCCAGCACCTGTCTGGGCTGTGGGGGGTGCACTAGGTCACATGCAGAGGTGAAGGAGCTGGGTGGTGGTATGTGATGTGCAAGAGGAGTGGTTTGGGATCACAAGATGAGAGTGACGCTTCAGTCATCTCATCGATCTGTTTATGGAGAGAGTATGATAAGAAAGGACTGAAGGCTGTATTATGGGGTATGGGGACATGAAATGAAGTAATTGGGCAGCAGATTGAAAACAAGCTCCAGGGAGTGATTCTACCCACTGGGCTTGGAAGTACCATTGTGGGCTTGTCCTCCTTCTGTCTTTCCTGGTTTCTGCTGACTGAGGTAAGGACAGCCACAAGGCCAGGCCCTTGCTGCAGTGCAGTCACAGGGCTTCTCTCCCATCCCAGGTCCCAGTCCAAGCTGATGGGCTGTGCCTGATGGCACCCCAGCATCTCCCTCAGATTTCCTACCTTGCTCTGTCCCGGTCCCTAGGATGAGGTGGGGATGTGGCTGGGTGAGTGCCTGATCTTACCATGCTGCTCTTCCTTCTAGGTGGTGGTGGTGACTGACTACGCAGAGGGAGAACTCTTCCAGATCTTGGAGGATGATGGGAGTTTGCCTGAGGACCAGGTGACTGTCATGGTGGTGGCCACACAGTGCTTGCTGCAGGATGGAGAGAACAGGATTTGTCTGCCTGCAGGCAGTGGGTCAGGAGACATCAGGAGGGTAAAGGTTTCCCCAGGGCCTTACCTGGCAGAGCTTCTGAAGGGGCTAGAGAGGGGGCCAAGTTGCACTGGGAGACAGTGGGGTCCAGCAGGGACCTCGGTTTCCCTGTTCCCTCTCCAGGGACCAGGCTGCTGTCTTGGCCACTGATCTGCTCCAACGAACTGCTGGCCCACAGCTGGGGCCAGTCCCTGCCCCAAACAGGGCAAGGGCAGGAGTAGGGGTACTGGGGGAGCCAGGCTGTAAGGGACCCCATGGTTGTGGCACCCCATCCGGTGGCACCATGGGACACAGGGTGAGGCTCCCGTGTCTCCGGCAGGTCCAGACCATAGCTGCCCAGCTGGTCTCTGCTCTCTATTACCTGCACTCCCACCGCATCCTGCACCGTGACATGAAACCCCAGAACATCCTGCTCGGCAAAGACGGCGTTGTCAAGCTCTGTGATTTCGGGTGGGTGCTGGGGGCCAGCTTGAGAGGGACGCTTGGCCTTGGGGCAGCCAAGGGGTGTCCTGGGTGCTGTAGAGGAGGAGGGGGGAGTGTGGGAGGGAACCTGGGTTCTGTGCATATGTAGAGGTTGATGAGGGATGGGGAATTTTGGACTCCAGAGGGGAGAGATGTTGGTAAACTCGCAGAGATTTCTGTGGGAGCTGCAGTGGATGTTTCAGCCTGAAATGGCCCTCTGTGCTTTGCTCTGAGCAGGTTTGCCCGTGCCATGAGCATCCACACCATGGTGCTGACCTCCATCAAGGGCACCCCGCTGTACATGTCCCCTGAGCTGGTGGAAGAACGGCCGTACGACCACACGGCGGACCTGTGGTCTGTGGGCTGCATCCTGTATGAGCTGTTCGTGGGCACTCCTCCCTTCTACACCAGCAGCATCTTCCAGCTCGTCAGCCTCATCGTCAAGGACCCCATCAAATGGCCCACAGCCATAAGCCCAGTCTTCAAGGTAAGGGCAAAGGCTTTGTCTGTGGGGTGAGATCCATTAATACGGTAGCAGCTTTGGCTTCACCTGCTGCCGTGGTGGGTCACTTTTAGGTTTTATGTCCCCTAACAGGGATTTCAGAACATAGAGAAGGGATGAGAGCTGGGCCTCCGGGGTGGGGGACCCTTATCACTGCTGTCCATAAGCTGGGAAACGGGCTGACAGCAGAGGAGTGATTTACTGGTCTGAGAAGGGAAGTATCTTCCTGTCTGCCATAAGCACTAGAGCCACTCCTTTCCCAGATCCAGTCAGGGAATGCAGGCCTCCTGGGTGCCCTCACTAGGGGAGACTGGTGGGTATGCTGTGCTCCTTGGTGGCTGCCGAATGTGTGTCAGTGACCCTGGTGCTGTGCTGCTCTGTAGAGCTTCCTGCAGGGACTGCTAATGAAGGACCCCCGCCAGCGCCTGTCGTGGCCGGAGCTGCTCTCTCACCCTTTCATTGCTGGACGGGTTACTGGTGAGTACCAGCTCTTTTTCCAGTGTTGGACAGGTCCATTTCTTCTTCCTGCCTGGAGACTGGGAGGACCACCCTGCCCTGCTATTTTTACTACCCTGGTCTTTGCCTCCCTCCTGTCAGCTTTCTCCAAGCACTGATCCCTACCTCCTGCCCCTGGGCTTGGTCTGGGTCCCCTGGGATTTTCCTGGGATCCCAGAGCCGATCACTCTCCCTATGACCCAAGGAAGAGCTGCTGATGAAGTTCTCCCCTCGCCTCCCCAGTGATCGATGACACGGAAGAGCACGGGATCTCAAACCCCTTCACCACCAAGCTGTCCCCAGAGCTGGAGGCCCTGAAGGAGCAGCAAGCCCATTCCATGGCCCCCAGGAGTGGCCAGTCCAGGATCCTCAGAAAGGCCCGGCAGAAGATGGTTGAGGAGGCACAGAAAAAGGTGGAGGAAAGTGTGGGATTCCCTTTTCTGTGTCCCACAGTCAGGGTCAAAGGAGGGGCACTGAAATGGGGCCTGGGGGCAAAGACAGAAGGTACATGGGTCAGGCTGGGATGTCAGCCACATATAAGGCAGGATTTGAGGTCCTCAGGGTGGTGGGGTCTAGGGGACTCATCCAGCTGTCTGAGAAACCCTGCCTTGACCAAACTTCTCTGCCATCGCCCAGGGGCAACTGAAGGCAGGTGATGCATGCATGAAGGACTCTGGCAAAGGATGCCCAGGCCATAGACCCAGAGCAGCTCCAGGGAAGGCAGCCCTTGGGGAGGGCGAGCCACCAGCAGCCTCCAAGGAGAAGAACCCCAATGTCCTGCAAGGAAAGAGCAGCATGGCAGAGTGGGAGTTGGAGGAGCCTCCTCCCAACCCACGGTGAGGGAGGGCTGAGGCTGGGACGGGAGGAAGCGGGGGAAAGCAGGGTCATTCACTGACTGTTCTGTTTCCTTGGCCAGGGAGCACAGCATCACTCGAGACTACGAGCAGGAGTTTCCTGGAGCAGGTGCCTCTCCACAGCCTGGTGCTGGCAGGGCAGAGCCCCGGGGCAGGCGCAGCATTGAGGCTGTGGACCTGGAGAGTGAGGTAAGACGGTATCTTGTGGAGAGGACAGCAGGGCCCAGTCCCCAGGGGCTGGCACAGAGACCCTGGGGCAAGGAGGGTCTGTGACACTAGTGCTCTTTCCTCCATGGCTAGGAGCTAGAGAGCGATGAGGAATGGCAGCACCTGATTAAGGCCACAGAGCCCTCTGCCATGCAGCTGAGCACACCGCTGAGCCTCCTGAGGGACCTGGCCTTCCGGCACCGTGCCCAGGTCCGCCTGGCAGACTCTGCTCAACAGGTGAGTGATGGCTGATCCAGGCAACTACGACTGGGGATATGGATGTCTCCTTCTTTCCCAGGATTGGGTAGGAGCATTGGGAGAGGCCTCAGTCCAGCCAGCAAGAAGATCCTCCAGAAGCTGGAGCTGTTCCATGCACTTAGCTTGCCATCTGCTCTCCTGCTGTCCCTTCTCTGAATGGGTTGAAGGGCTGCACCATGGCTGATGGGAGAGGCCAAAACCACTGCTGATCATAAGCTCTTCTGGTTTCTCTGTGTCCAGGTGCTGGAAGGAATGCTGGAGGGAGCCTCCCGTCTCCGTCCAGTGCTCCGTGTTGTGAGCAACCTCCTGACTACCCAATGTGACTCTGAGCTGCTGGACCACTTCTGCCGAGAGCTGAATGTGCCTCTGTCCCTGCTGTGTCTAGCCAAGCAGATCCTGGAGAGTGATAGCACCAGGCAGGTGAGTGTAGGACCCCAGAGGAATCTGGGCTCCTTCCAGCCCTGCAGAGTGCTGATGCTGAGGAGGCCCTGGTGTCCTGCTGGGGCTGGCTCACAGGACCAGTGCCTCTTCCAGGCATCCTTGAGAAGGGGGAGGTCCTAGCAGGGAAGGATCCTGTTGCAGTGGTGGCCAGCAGACAGTCCCCACTTGCTGTTTCTTTCTGGATCCTGCAGCAGCCCTGGTGTATCACGGTGCTGACAGACCTCCTCACAGTGACCACAGTTTATTTCAGCAGTGAATGCGGCCTGGAGGAGAGTGGGCGAAAGGACAGGTAGGGACAACCCTATGTGATCTGAGGTCTCTTGTGGCTACTTTGGGGACCTGGCAGTAGGTGGGAGGGTGGTGGTCATACTCTCTGGCTGGAGCTGTCTCCGTGGGGAAGCATCATGGACTAAGTGTTTCGTGCCATATTGCTGTGCTCACAGAGGAGATTTTTCCATGAGCAGGACTAATTAAGGGGAAGGCACTGCTGACAGTGGCTCACAGTGCTAGTGTGTGCTGCCTGCTCCATTAGCCAGGGCCGTATGGGCCTGGACAGATCCTGTCCTCACAGGTGGAGGCCATGTTTCCCTGCTCTCCTTTGCCCCTGCTGCCTCTCCCAGCCTGCAGGCCTTCCAGGAGAGTGCCGGCTGCTTCCTAGCCCTGCTGCTGGAGCTGCTGACTGAGCCAGCCGACAGCGAGATGAGACTCTGCCAGCAAAGCCTCCTGGTAAGGGTGCCCCTGTCTCCCTTTTCCCCACTCTTACCCCCAAGGACAGAAGCTGTGGGGCTGGGTGCGTGTGTCAGGGAGCACAGGCAGAGGACCCTGCTCCCAGCTGTGGGGTCTGATACATTCTTGTCAGGACAAGCTGTCTCATCCGGTGGGGTTTTTTGGGGGATCACATGTAGAAAGGAGGCCTCTGAGGAGGAACCTTCCCTGGTTGTGCCTCCATGTGTACCCCTCTCTCAGTCAGCATGCAGCCACATGCGGCTCCCACACAGTAACCTGGCTGGAGAGGACACTTGGAGGTCTCTGGAGCTCCAGCACATAAGTCCTTCTCCCATCTCTGCCACAGCCTCCTCCCCCACTGTCCTTCTCACTCCTCCCACCCTCAGTCTGCAGTGATGGTAAACCCTGTGTCTTCCCCAGTGCTTCACCCTGCTCTGTGAGAGCCTGGATGCGACATACCCCTCCATCTCTGCCCCCTTCTATGCCAGCCTGCGAGAGGACTATCAGCCCCTGCTGAACAAACTCCTTCAGGGATCCAACTCAGAGCAGCCTGCTCTGCAAGGTAGCAGCTCACCACCTCCTCCTGGGGTTTTCCCTCTCTCTCCTGCCCTTGGGCTCCCTCAGACCACTGACTGCCATTGCAATACTGTTGGCTAGAAGAGGTGGCTGAAGCTTATCTGCCAAAATCCCTGCTAACCAGGGCTCTCCTCTCCCTCAATCCCATATTTCACCCTCCTTGTATCACAAGCCTGACTTTTCCTCTCTTGGCTTCCAACACCATCCTGCTGCCCCTCAGCATCCCTCACCCTTAGCACGTGTTTCCTGAGCTCTGTCCCTGTGCAGGTGCAGTGATGGAGGCCAAGTCAGCCCATGACCAGAGCCCACGTCTGGCAGACCTCTTCACGGCTGCATTGGCTGCTGCCTGCAACATCCCCCTGGAGAGGAATGGCTGTCGGGAAGTCAAGCGGCAGGTCAGGCCAGATCTCTTTGCAGGGTGGGGAGGTGTGGTCTTCACAGGGGCAGCCCTTTCCAGGAGGATTTCTTTTTCAGCAGAGTGGAAGGCTGGGGTCCTCTGGCTTTGGTAACTGCAGGGCTGGCATTTGCAGGTTGCTCCTCCCCAGGCAACAGCTGAACTTTAGGGAGTCTGGGGACTCCTAAATCAATTAAGGGACTCACACTTAGGATCTGAACTGTGGGATGGGCTAAGTGAAGAACTAGCTAATGCAGAGAAAACATGATGAATGATTATATGACAGTGTTATGAACTGTAGAAAACCTGTAATTGAATGGACAATAAATAAGAGGGAAAGCAAAACTACAGATTTACATTTGATCCTTTAACTCAACTTTGAGTCATCAAGAAGGGAAGCAAAGGAGGAATCTCACCTTGCTCATCTCAGCCCTGGGACAGTGCATCAAAGCCATGCTGGGTCATGGCAGATGGGCATCCCTTTGTGAATGCAGGCAACATGTAGCAAACAGAGGCCTTTTATGAATTTGTTGCTAGCATTAAACTCCTTAAATCTGTGCAGTGCTTCGTGTGCCCAGGGCAAAACAGGCTGATTTCTGCAGGTCGCTCAGGAGGTAGCTGAAAAGCTTATGGAGGGAGAGAGCCAGCAACTTGGAAAACTGCTGGGGAGACTGGAGCACCCAAGCTGCTCCTTGAATGTACTGAAGGTAATGGCCCCGTCCATTTATCTGACTGTGCCCAGAGGTGCCTGGACCTTTGGTCTGAGGTTAGGAGCACGGGCAAGGGGGAACTGTGGGCTCACCTCTTAATGATTCCCATCTCCCTGGTGTCAATTGTTGAATAAATGAGCCCATGTGGGGTGTGACTGGGATGGGCATTGCATCCCTGTCCCCAGGGGATGGTATGCATCTCTCCCCTCTGCCTTGCAGATCCTCTACGCTGGCTGCCATGCCAGCCTGAGCCTGTGCCAGCACCTGGGAAGGAGTCAACGACTGTGGGGTTCCCTCATGCAGCTTTTGAAGGGTGAGGTAGGACTGACCATAGCCACGGTGGTGGGGTAAGAGTGTGAACAAGCAGGACACATTCCTCTGAACGCTGCTCAGATCAAGCTAAGGGACGTCTGGGGATAAGAGTTTGAGGGACCTTTGTCTGGAGAGTGCAGTTTTCCTCCAGGGCCCAGAAATATCCCTTCCTCTCCGCTCAGCTCTGCTGTCCCCCTGTGACTCCTGCTCCCTTGGCAGGTTCCCATGGTGGAGGTGGCCCAGAAGGCAGCCTGCGAGGCCTCACTGTATCTGCTGGCCCTGCTCACCCTGCAGCTCCAGGTCTCCCCTCCCAGGTAAGCACCTCCTTTTGCTCACAGGTGGGAGAGGAACATGTCCTACCCTGTACAGCCCTCTGCCCTGCACCCTACCCAGGGCTGGGCTCCTGCTCCCACTGACCTGGACACACCAGCAGAGTGCTGGGCAGTGTGGGTGGGTGCTGGGGATGTGGCGAGGTCCCAGAGTGGACAAGGAGGGGCTGTGAACCAGGGCTTGTTCCTCCTCCAAGATGGCTATTTCCCAGCCCTGGGGTTGTTTGGATGCTGCTTCTCTGTGGGCTGTGAAGCTGTGGGAACACAGTGGCTCTCCCCTGGCCCCTGTGTTTCAGGCTTGAGGAGGTGGTTACCCTGGCCATGGATCTCATCACCCAGTCTTCTGTCGTCTCCCTTGTGGTAAGTCTGCCCACCCTGCCAGAGCCATCACTGAGAGCCCTGCTCGGCCTTGTGTCCTGTTTGGGTCCTACTGTTGCTTGTTCAGGGTGGGATTGGGGCAGGAACAGCCTGGTTGTCCCTGCCCTGGGCTGAGGGATAAAGAATCAGCACTGAGCAGGCAGATGGGGAAGTCCCAAAAATGCTGAGCTCTTCCTGTTCCACAGGGTGCTGCAGCATTTCTCCTGACACAGCTCTGTCAACATGGGGTGGCCTTGGAGCTCAGGAGAGAAGAGATCCTGCTGGTGGTGACAAATGCACTGACGGCACCTGCTGAGGTATGGGGTAGGGACAGAGGAGCAGGGGAGCCATGCTGTAACCCCACTGTGGAGGTGTGCAGTCAAAGATGGGCTCACAAGGGTGCAGGAGTGGTGCTGCTGCCCTCAGACCCAGCACCTAGCTCCGGCCCATCCCCTACTCTCTTACAGCTGCAGATCCCCCTGCCAATGGGTGCTGGTCTCTATGACGGGATCTTTTTCCTCCTGCTGAAGCTCCTTGCCCAGGTACCAGCCTACCTATATCCCTTTGATCCCTGCTGATAGGTGTGGGGGCAAAAAGGGAACTGGGCACCTTTGGCTGAGCTTTGCAACCCCATGAAAGTCACCTAATGTCCCTGGGTTGTCTGTGGAACTCTGGAGGATTGGTGGGAGAGTGGTCGGCAGGGAGAGATGATTTGTGAGTACATCAGAGTGAGAGAGGACATAGATGCTCGGGGACTGTCAGGGCTGCTGGCTGCCTGGCCTCCTCTCCTTCCCCTGGGCCATGTCTGTCCAGCCCTGACCTTCCCAGGACCATGGGGCTGGCAGGGATGTGAACCAGAACCCTGGGGAGCCATGGGGGACCAGGATGCCCCCCAACACCTGTCTCCCCATCTTTAGGAGGACATGGCTGCGGAGCAGGGCCTTGCCACCTCAGAGCTCTGGAGTGTGGTGTGGCATTGTGTTGCTGCAGTGCTTCGCGTGGCCAGTGACAGGGCAGCACTGGAAGGAGACACCCCAGGGACAGACCACCCCACGGCAGAGCCAGACTGGAACCTCCTCTCCCCTCAAGGTAGGAGTTGCGGGACGGCAGGGCATCTGCCCCGGACCCTGCTCCGCATCCTGCTCTCAGATTTGCCCACATTTCTCCCCATCAGCATCTGGTCCCTGAGGCCAGAGGGCTCAGGGGGCTTTTCTTAAGGATTGCTGTTGTCCTCCGGGCAGAGAGGGCTGGGCTGGCCCATGCTGTGCCCACTTGGCAGCAGGTCAGCTGAGCTGGCTGTGGAGGAACAAGAAGGGGTGTCTCTGCTGCAGGGGAACATTTACCCTGGCAGATGTGACCGCTATGGGTTGAGATTGGCCTGGTCTCAGGCAGGGAACCACAGAAGGAACCCTGGAGCAGCCTTCAGGCAGTACTGGCAGACAGAAGAGAGGAGATTTTTCAGCCTTCCCTAGCTTTGCCCCTCTGCTGTGCTGTTCCCCCTGCAGGCACCCTGCTTTTCCTCAGCCTGGCCCTCTTAGTCTTCACTCGTGAGTCCCACCGGTGCCTGCCTCAGCTCACTCATTCCCACGGTGTCCTCATGGTGACACTGAAGAGGCTGCTGTCCCCTGGCTTCCTGGCATGCCTGGCAGAGACGTGAGTTGGGAGGGCTGAAGTGGGCAGAGCTTAACCACTGGATGGGGCTTGAACACGAGCACACAGAGGGCTGAGAAGTTCCTGACCTGGCACTTGCAGGGTACAGCTCACCTGCCGAGCCTCTTCTTAGTGTCTGGCATGGGGAATGCTCTCTGCCTCTTGCCTTGATGTTTTTAGGATTGCATCTGTAATATGCCCTCTCTAAAAATTCAGGCAGGCAGGAGAGAATGGGGACCCTGATCTTGTCCCAGATGTGGTGATCCAAGCCTGCCAGCTCCTCTGTTTCCCTTTTGCCCTGGATGTCGATGGAGACACCTTAGCATTGGTCATGGAGGCTGTGAGAGATGCGCAGATCCCTGCTCAGCTGCTGCAGGTACCCTCTTGGCCCTGCGTTTCTCTTTCCCCCCCATACTGTGGAGACACCTCCCCACATTGCAGTCCCCAGTGTGTGGCACCACCTCACACCGTGCTGGTGATTTCTGCCCACACAGGGACATCACTTGGGTGCCATGCAGCCCTCAGAGCAGCTTGGCCAGCAGCCGAGCTCTGCACTGACCTGCTGGCAGCCTTCAGCTGCTTCTTGACTTGGCCCACATGTGGGGACATGGCACCCAGCGCCGATCTCTCTCCTTTCTTCTTAGGTCTGCTCTCACCATCTGCCCTTCTCCTACACTGAGCTCCCCATGAGCCTTTTGTGCCACTTCGTTGTGTGTGATGAGCAGGTCATAGACCAAATGGTGAGGGAAGCTGCTGCCTCAGAGCACGTCATTGCCTTCTTGACATCTGCCTTGTTTTCAGACAGCCTCACGCTCACGACTGACCTCCTGTCTCTCTTGACCCACGTGGCCCGGGCCTGTCCGGAGCACCTGCCCTTTCTCCAGAGGATCCTGAGGGGCTCGGATGTGGCCGACCAGCCACTGACCCACCTGCTGGGCCACCAGCAACACCTGATACGCGCCAAAACCTGCAACCTGCTGGGCAACCTGCTCCGACACGGCCACGGCTTTTCCCAGGTGTTGCAGAGCCAGCCTGGCTTGCTGGACAACCTGCTGGGGTGCCTGACAGACCGAGAGGAGAGTGTGCGGAGGGCAGCCAGCTTCGCGGTGGGCAACGCCACCTACCACGAGTCCTCCCCCGCCGGGACCCTGGGCAGGGCTGTGCCCGGGCTGATGCGGCTGTTGAGCGACGCGCAGGCCAGGACGTGCTGCAACGCTGCCTCGGCCCTGGGCAACCTGGGCAAGCGCTGGGAGGAGCTGGGGGACCTGCTGATCGAGAGCAGGGCCCCCCACGTCCTGCTGGAGGTGGCCTGCCGGGACCCCCGGGAGAGCGTGCGGGAGGAAGCCCTCGTCGCGCTGCGGGCCCTCAGCCAGCACCCCCGGGTACAGCAGGTACTGCCTGGGGACCTCGGCTCCTTGATGGCGCCGTGGGGACAAGGGGCCAGGCTGGCGGGTGACTCCTGTCCCTCTCTTTGCTCTGCAGGTCCTGCTGTCTCTCAGAGCCACCGAGAAGCTGGCCGCGCTGGCCGGTGGTGACCTGCAGCCCACCGCTGGCAGCAACCCCCGGCCGTCTTCTGCCCGGCATTGCGAGAAGCTCCTGCGCCTCCTCACGCCTCTGTGCAGTGCTGGCAGCACCCCCGGCCACCCAGATCCCAGCAGGTTTGCTGCCCCGCACCAGCGCTGAGGGCTGACGCCTGGGCCCAGCCTGACGCTGCCTTCAGCGGGACGGGACAAACTCTTCATCCTCCCCGGATGGCTTCGTCCAGCCCCGACCCTTCCGTGAAACCCATTTTGTCTGCCTGAGGAGGGGGCCCTGCCCGGCCTCCTTTACCCCGGGAAGGAAGCCATTCCTGGAAAAGCGCCTGTAGCCCTCAAGGATGCAGCTCGTCCCGCCGGGGCTCCGCCGCTCTATCCCGGGGCAGCCCCGCCGAGGGGACCGGCGCCCGCGCCGCTAGGGGGCGCCGCCGCGGCACGTCCGGGAAGTGACGCCCGCCCGCCGGCGCGGCCCCGCGCGGTGGCTGCCGGGAGGTGTAGTCACGTGGCGGCGCCGCCCCGGATCCCTATGGTAACGGCGGGCGGCGCGGCGGCGGCGGCGGCGGGGCCCGGCGGGCGGTGAGTACGGGAGGGGCGGGCCCCGGTGTGCCTCCCCTCCAAGGCGTTGGGGTCCGTGCTCCCCCTAGCCCCCCCGGGTGTCACCTTCAAGGGCCCCTCCGGGGCGTGGGGGCCTTGATCCCCGCTGCCGCCTCCCCATCCCCGCCTCGCTGGGGCCCTCGGCCCTCCCTGCCCCACGGCCGTGCTCGCAGCACCCACCCGGCCTGTCCCCGGGGCCGGAGGAGGCAGCTTGCCCAACGCCAGCCCTCCCCGCGGGGGGCTTGCCGTGGCTCTAGCCTGTGGGGTGCCCCGGGCCAGGCCCCGTGGGGCTGGGGAGGTGGCCCGGGGGTGCTCTGCGGCGGGACGTGCCCAGCACGGCGTCCTGGCCAGCGCTCCTAGGGCAGGGTGGAGTGTCTCAGTAGCACCTTTGGCCTCAAAGACTTTAACCTGAAGAAATAAGAAACGGAACGTGTTCCCTGGGCGAGCACCATGGAGGAAGAAGAGCAGACTCTCCAACGAGCCTCTCCTCGGAGCTGAAGTGAGGATGGAGCTGGGATTGACTGGACCTGCGTGGGGCACTGGGACAGCCTGGCTGTTACTCTTTCCACCAGGGTCTTGGCTTGGCTGCTCTGGTATCATAAAAAGGAGCTGATGGTTCTGAAAGGTGAATGGCAGAATTGCAAAAGGAGTTGAGACAAGGCTGGAGAGTTTCCTGAATGCCTCCAGGATCTGGGCTGGGAATGAGTGGTGTAGGAGCCTGTAGCGCTGTGCCAGCCTGCTGTCTGCCTGCCTGCCCAGGCTGCAGATATCTCGTGGGACATAGCCATTCAGCCCCACATCAAAACCCTCCCTACATGACTCCCTGCGACGTGGCTTCTTTTTCTTATTGCTGTGTGTTCCTCACTGAGTGGGTATGTGACATCTAGTGGGTCCTAGGCAGTTTGGGAGAATTAACATGAGTTGTTGGTCTGATTAGTTTTATCTAGTAATTTTTCTTTCACTCTTAGTGGTTGTACCCAGCAGATCGTGACATTTGTCTGTCCTTGCATTGCTCTCTTGCTGTGGTCCTTAGGTTTTGTATTAGGTAAACCTTGTTGATGACAAATTGGCCCCTCCTGCACTTTGGTCGTGCCTGGGGACCTTCTCAGCATAGCAGGGATCACATTGCAAGGAGGGTGCTGACAAATGCCACTGTTCTCAGATAATGATGCCTTCATAGAGATGTCATGTCACCAACGCAGGTCTGGGGCTTTGGTTGCCATACTGGCCTGGCCAGGTGCCATTCCTTGGCATTTCCCAGCTTCCTCCCGTGCAGCAAGTCTGGGAATATTTGGCAGCTTCTTCCCAACTTCAGTCTCTGTTTCTGCTCCACTCCTGATCTCTGAGAGACTGTTGCATGGAGTGAGGTGGTTGCAGTGCATCCAGAGGGATATGTCCCACCCTGGTCAAGACATGGAAGGGTCCTCATCACATACTAAAGGACAGACCTGGGAGCTTCTTCTTCCAGTTCCAGATGTGTTTCAGAAGAAGGTATCAAGGAAAGAGGATGGACAAAGAATCGATGTGTTTTGAACTAATGGGGTAGTTCTTGTCTTCTTGCTATATGTTGTTATTTTATAGTTGTTCCACTCACCCTGTCTTCCACCTTTATTTTATTTCTCTGCTAAAGGCTGTGAGTGTGGCCACGCTGCCTAAAACCAGTGATCAGTGCTGACTGCCTGTCAGTTCCTGTGCTGGTGGCCAAGCTCTCCCCAGGTCCCACTGCGTATTTCTCCTGTACCTTTTCTCCCATCGTGAAGCTCAATTGAGAGCACTATCCATTTGGTTCACAGTCTGCTTGGATCTGCAAGAAGGTGCTTTAGACCTCCTCACTGAAAGGCTTTAAAACACCCCATGCTTAGGCTGGTTGCTTTTAACGCAGACTCATTTCCCTATTCTAGTTTATGCTGCAGTACAACTGCTCCTATAGCCCAGACAATGAGAAAGTACAAATTAAGGATGGGAGTGAGGGCAGGGACTTCCCAGCATCGCTTCTGGGGAAACACAGAGCTGCCTGGTCCGCTGTTGCCGTGCAGCAGGTCCCTTTCAGTGGCCTGGGGACTCTGTCAGGGTGGAAGAGTTGGTATCCTTAGATAGTGATGGGGACTCCACATTCTGGACCCTTCCTTCGTCTTTTGGTAAGGCCTCTGCACTCTCTGGTCACAGCCAGGGCAGCCCACCTGGGGCGAGCACTGAGCCAGCCTTTTAGATGTCTCTGGTGCGCCTTCTCCATGGCAAAGCTGCAGCCCTGGATTTTCTACCTAATCATGCTGGAGTCCCTCACCTCATCTGACACTGCTCCGATGCCCTGAGAGCGGTGAGAAGGTCCCCTGTGAGCTCAAACGTGTGAGCCTTCAGAGCCCAGCTCAGCCCGTGTGTGCGTGGAAGGAGGTGGTGACGGGATTCCAGCTCTCCCATGGCGTGGTCCAGCGCCCTCCTGCCCGTAAGGTCTGCCAGCCTCGGGAACGGGCGTGCGCGCCAGAGCTGCTCTGCTCTTGCAGGGCAGCGCTCTGCTTAGATGAAAGATCATTTCAGGCAGTCATGCACTTCTTATGCTTTCTCTCTTCGGTGTGGAGGTCAGCACCACAGCCATTGAATTAAAATTACTAGCCCCAGCGCAAAGGCTGGGTACAAATGTAATCCCGGGATGCAGGTGGAATTTGCTGATGGCATCCCCACAGTGGGTGGTTTCTCACTGGTATCTTTTTTGACCTGAGTGGCCAGGCAAAAACTTGCAGTCTTGATTAGCAGAGAAACTGGTCCTTATCCTGTGCCTCTGGTATTGCACCCAAAATGTGGTTCTGCACGATGATACCAGAGTGGAGAAAGAGCAGTGATGCTTAACTACACAGCAAAGCAGCATGCTGGGCTGTTGGTCCCTGTGCTGCCAGCATTTCTGCGGTGGCTGAGCTGCCTCTGAGCTGTCTTGTCATGGACATCTCGTGGCCAGCAGGACCCTCTGTTCTTCAGCTTGAACTTGCGGGTGGCCTTGGCTGCTGCTTTGTCTTGGTGACTGCACTCAAGGCCACTTGTTTCCTGCAGTTGATGTAGGTGAGGGTTGTTTCTGTGCTGTTAAACACAAGAGTTTGTACCTAACTGCCAGGTGTAAGAGCAGCTTTAAGCATTCTCAGTCAGTTGGTTTCAGATGAATGCGCTTCATCTTGTTGAATTGAAGGGGTACAAGCCCTTATTTTGAAGTGTATATTGGTTTTAAAACCTGTTTATTTTGCGTTGTTAACTTGCTTGTTCAGGCTTTAATCAGAAGCCCCAGAGCTGTAAGTGAGGAACTTGGTGTGAACTCTGGTCTCATTTAGAAAAATATATTATCCTTTCTAACTGTAAAGAACAGAAATTGCACCCTGCAATGGCATAGAACATAATAGCAAATCACAGTTGTCTGATTCCCTGCCCCCCTTGTGACTTTGGGCTGCGTGAGGCTGACAGCACATTATCAGGTCAGTTTGCAGCTCATACATTTGCAAGCTCTTGTTATTTTAAGCACGTCACCACAGCTGCGTTTAAAATAACCTCCACAGCCAAACACACGTGATGAAGGGATGATGTGCATGCCCGGGCTTTTACGGTTTCATCCTTTCCCCTTAGAAATGGGTCTGCGAGGAGCTGCCATACTGCCATCAGAGGAGCACACGCTGCGGGGAGGCTCGGGTGGGGAGAATGGGCTTCCACTGACGCGTAGCTGGGTGTGCACAGGCTGGGGTGCGTGGTGGCCCCTGCGCACCTGTGATGTGACATTCGCAAAGGCCGTGGCAGTGCTCCAGCTGACGTCCCGAAGCTTGTGAGCAGGCTGTGCGATAATAAAAGGTGCTAGCGAAATAGTTGTAAGCGAGTGCAGCTGTACGGTCACTCCAACAGCGACAACTTTGACCTCTATATTGTATGTCAATAAGTCCAAGCCAAAATCCATTAATTACCAGTAATGATGTTTGGGTTTGTCTTCCAGCCTGGCCAGTTCACCCTGGGCATTTCCTAGCTCATGTTTCTACAATAAAATTTCCAAGTGTAGTTTTATTGCTGTTGCGAGCAGCAGAACGGACTCCAACTCCTTTGCCATAGGGTTGGGTTGGCAGAACTAGGGATTGCATCAAGCTGTGGCCCTTCCTCCACCCAAAGCTGCCCGAGTTAAACATAAAGGGGAAACTTCCCTGAATGGTAACCAGTGGGGATTTACCTTGGGGCAGGTGACGTGATTCGTGCCCAGAGCCACAGGGACGTGGCAGCTGCTGTCCTGTTGTGCCCACAGCCTGGCATGTGAAGGTGCCTCTGTCTCTGCTGGTTGTCCTGGATGTTCAGCAGCTGCTTTTGCTGAGCTGTCCTTGCAGTGAGGACAGGAGCCGGTTTGCAGGCAGCTGTCAGAGGTGGCTGTGCTGACACGCACGAGGTGGGACAGGAGTGTGGACGGGAGGAAGGACCGGCAGTATAAGCTGGTGCTTCCAGTCTCAATGTAAACCTGCCCTGACTGGGGGGGGGCATGTTTTTTCTTTCATCCTTCCTGCTCCAATCTCTGAGCTCCTGCGTCTCCAAAGGGAAACAGTGGTAGTTACTTGCCAGTCTTCACCTGGAAACCGTACAAAAAAGGCCCTGCTGCTTCCAGTGCACCCCTGCGCCGTGCTGGCCCAGCTTCTTCCATGGCATCGCAGCAAAATCACTTGGAAGAGGGGCAAGCTCAACAGATTCTCCCTCTGCTGCTGCGGGGCTGGGGAGCAGCCCGAGCCAAGCAGGCGGTGGTGGCTGAGGCCGTGCTGGGGCCAGACCTCCACCCTGTGCTGGCTGCATCTGTGCTGCCATTGTCACTTACTCCAGAGCAGTGTCACACAGGGCTTCTGCTGTCATACTCATGCCTGTGTCTAAGCTAGCTGTCAGATCCACGTCCCTTGTTACAGCTTCATTAGGTCAAATCACTTTTATTTTTATAGCAGGATGATCCACTGATAACTGTAAAGCTGGGTGGAGGTGAGGCACGGTGGCTTTCAGTGCAGGCTGGTTTTGCAAGGTCATTCACAGCCGGGTGAGAGCACAGACGATGGCCAAGCTGGCAGCGTGTGTGGTGATGCCACAGTGACAGTCCCCTCTAGGCAGAGGCATCCGGGACACTTTCATTCACCTCCTTGTGTTTTTATTTTGCTTTTTCACGTCTACGTTCGCTGGTGTGCTAGGGTCACTTTGTGGTTCGAGCACTCTTGCGACCTGGCTGAATCCGGAGGGATGGTGTGCGGAAGCAGAGCTTCGCTCGCCTGTTTACTGGGGGAAACTTGAGCAGGGCAGGTGGTGGCATCTGAGCCACAGCCTCTCTGCTCTGTGCTAATCGCTGTGAATGTCACAACGGCGGGGTTTGCTGCCGGGCACGGATTGGGTAGTGATCGGATAGTGCAGTAAGGCTCAGTTGTGTACGACGTGTGAGATTCCCTTCTCTGGGGCTCTGGAGCCCCTCTGGGCTGCAGCTTGCAGCGGGGATGCAGCTGCCTCATCCTCATCAGGAGTGCTCAGCATGATTGCACAAGCCATAATGAGCAGTGCCACCACGGGCATGGGAGCAGACCTAACCCCTGCCATGCTTCCTTCAGAGGTTGGCAGGGCAGCAGCTCTCCTTGAGGATGTCTAGCCCCAGTGGGGTCCCGCGTGGGACATTCTCACCTCGTACAGCCTCGGGTTGGGATGCTGCTGACCTGGTGTGCGCTGGAGACTGGGGCCTGATTCACAGGTTGAGAAAGTCTGGCGGGTGTAGGTCTGTCTGACCCAGCCCTGGGGTGGGTGTGAGCCGCTGTCATGGTGCTACAGAGCAACCCTGGGGTCTCCTAGCTACGCTTTAACTGCTGCAGCTGAGGCTTGATTTTCAGTCAAGAAAGGATTATCTATGTGTATTGCAAGAAAACCAAGAGGGTGGTGGTTGATGCTCTGCTTACCCTTCTTTTTATACTTTTTTTCTTTTTAAACATGCAAGCTTGTGAGAGCTGGAAGGTGGAAGAGCAAGCCAGGCAGCCAGCCCGCTTGGGATACAAATTCCAATCACGGCTGTATCCAGGGGCCCTTCAGGCATGTGTTAAAGCAAGACAAATATCTGGCACATGGTTTGTTTTCTCTTTTCCTTCTCCCCAGGCGTGATGATCTTACAGGCATGGTGCAATAGTTCATTTTAGGATTCAGGACACCTACTTCTGCAGCTCTGTGGACTGCCAGTTGCTCCTTGCAAGAGACTTCTGTAGGACTGCAATGGGGGAGGAACGTGTGTGCGCGGTACTGCCAGTGTCTGCTGGAAACTGAGGTGTTGATGTTAGAACAGCCCTGTGTTTGCTCCTTGCTGCCTTCAAGGGATGAGATTCTTGCCTAGTTGTGTGACCTTGAGAACTGAAGCTTTAAGGAGTGGGGAGAAGAAGAAGCAGGAGACGGTTTGGGGCTTGTGGTGGAGTCGGGAGAGCTGGTGTTGGAGCACATGGTGCAGTTTGGAGACGCACACCAGTGGGAGTGGGCTTCAGCTCCCATGCCAGGTCCAAGGCAAGTGGGCAGGCAGCCTCTCCTGGGGCTGCTGCCCTGTGGCCCTGACTGGAAACCAGGCACACCTACACATTTGCAGAGTACAAGCTTTCTTGCGGATGTCACTTTTCCCAGGGCCTTCTCTAAGTTGTCCTTCACGTCCCCTGGTTTCATGTGAGGTGCCAGCTCTTCCACTGACTTGGTCCCAGCATACTCTTGGGGAGCTCAGCGGACGGAGACATGGTTTTATTTCCTGCAAGGAATGCATCTTGCCCTGCTCCCCTCCTGTGTTATTGGGCTGGGTGCTTTGCCGTGCCAGAGTAACAGCACCTCTCATACTGTTGTCTTGTTTCAGGCCAGCAAAGATGCTGCTGTAGATGACTGACTCGCTCGTGCCTTATGTGCTATGGCTCTACATGGCCTCTGCAGGACCAGAACACGCTGATCTGGGCCATAAACAGATGAGCATTGAGCTCGAGTCAGGCACCCTTCTGGCAGGGAGAGCACAGCCACACCGGGCCTGGCACCTTGTTCAGCAGCAGGCAAAACCCATCTGGAATTTAGAGAAGAAGTATGTGAGCGCTTTCCAGCATCGCAGCCTGCTGCCTTTAGGGATCCCTCTGCAGCAATCCTGTTTCTTGTGCCCACCATCACTATGCCACGTACACCCCGGTGAAGACGCCCTCCCGAGCCTGCCCGTGGCCCAGCCCTGCCTGGACCTGGGCGGGAGCGCTCTGCCATACCGACACTCCGGCCTCAGACCCAAGCCCCACGGGTTTCCTTTCCAAAGCCCTCCAGACACTGGCTCTGCCACGGGAAGGGTGATGTCTTCCTTGCTGATGGAGCCCTGCCTGCTTCCTGCGCTGGTGGAGGAGCACCCTGGGACTGGGGTCAAAGGCTCTGCCCTCAGCTCAGGTCAACAGGCTTCCAGCTCCTGTAGCTCCTGTAGACCAGTGCTCAGTAACAGTTCGTTCCTACAGCCAAGCAGTGCTAAAGTGCCTTTGCTGCAGTCACTGGAGATCAAGAAGGTGAAAAACACCCACAGCTTCCCTGCTGCCTCTCGGCCTCACACTGGGGATGATGGAGACAGCTCCTCTGGCAGCCTGGTCAACAGAGCAATGAAAAGCAGTGACCTTGTGTTGGAACAAACCGCGGTCCCCTCCCTGACTCTTATGTCCAGCAGCGCGAACCTCAGGAAGGACCGGTGCGCGTGGGAGGATGCTGAGAGGAGAACTCACAGCTTAAAAGAGAAGGAGCTGGAGATCAGCCTCACGAAGTCTGTGCAGCAGCTAGTCGGACAGAGTGCCACACACAGTGACTTCGGACGTGAAGTTGAGAGCTCTGGCCTTACCAACACGGGCAGCCTGTCCAACTGTAACGGCAGGTGGGGGCAGCGCATCGTGGTGCAGCTCACCCCGAAAGAAACCGTCGCTCCTCTGAACTTGGAGCTGGGTAGCCATCGCCTTAACGGTAACTCGAGCCTTATAGGCACCGACGGTGCCGTCGTCTGCACTAAGCGTATCAACATCCATCTCCTGGCCTCGCGCACTGGCTCTCCCAACTGCGACGCTGACTGCCGGCTTGTGAGCGTGCTGAGCCCGCGCAGCGGGGACCAAGTAGCGAGAGCAGAGCGTCCGCACCTTGCTGCTGTCTCCGAAGTGGCAACCCAGATGTCCACCATCCAGCTGGAGAAAGAGGAGAAAAGGGCCCAGGCTGTGCTCCCAGGAAAGCTTGAGTAAGTAGGGCCAGGAGGAGGAGGGAGGCCCTGGCGGGAGGGGCTGGGCTGGCCGTTGTGTCTGTGTGCGCTGGGAGAGGATGGACGGCGAGCACTGTGGGGGTGGCTGTAAGGATAACCATCGGCTGCGTCCCTGAGCAAAACCCATCTGCAGTATCTTGGGGCAGGGGGGAGCCTTCCTGCCACCCCTAGCTTGACACAAGCACTCAAGGGTGGCTCTGAGCCCTTCTACCTTCTCCTTCAGCCACAGCGTGGAATTGCTGTGTGGCATTTCCAGCTTGCTCCCCGCAGTCATGGGGCCCTGTCTGCTGTGGCAGGCTCTGCACGTGTTGGGTGAAGCCTGCTGTCGAGCCAGGTCTGGCAAGGCTTTCCTGGGTGGAAACACGGGTTCCTAAAGGAATGCAGAGCTGATGCAGTACAGGGAGGGTGCATCTTTCTTTCTGGCTGCTCTGGAAAACGTTCCGTCTTAGGGTGCCCTGGGGCCTCTCCAAATTGCTAGCTTGGGATGAATCCTTGTACACCAGCACTGGGGAGGGTAGTGCTGTCACTCCCCTGCCTATATTATCTCATGCGGCCTCATGGGCTGCTGTGTCTTTTGGCCCTGGAAAGCATATGCCACTCCTTCTGATGTGATGTCCTGTGTCCCAGTGTCACTGCTGAGCAGTCACCACTGGAGCCAAGCCATCCCCAGGATGAAGTGGAGGAAGAACTTCCCGATGGCCTGGATGAGAGCTGCAGTCAGGAGGAGGATGAGGACAGTGAGTACTGGTTCCCCAGAGAGGGCTGTGCTCCGTGCCTTGAAGTGGGGAGTGTGGGGGCAGTCTGGGTGCTGGGGGATGAGCAAAGCTGCCCTCCTGTCTTATGTTCATGCTGTCATTTCAGGATGACCTAGAGATTGTGCTGAACCCAAAAGCAATGTAGCAGCAAGGAGGAACTGTATGTGTTCCCCTGGGAAGCAGGCTAGGGTTTACCACTTGTACTGCTCCAAAACTTACTCATCTCCTCTCTGTGCAGGGCTGTCAGCTCCACCCCCTGTCCTGCTTTTTATGCCACCAAGTAGTGGGCAAAACCCAGGATCCAAGGATTCGGGGTAGCTAGGAAGGGACTGTCCCCTGGAGCATTTGTTTTCTCCCCTTCCTAACTCTATGTGCATTCACTCCCCACGACAAAACTTGTGTCTGTCTGCTCCTGCAGGTGACTCAGATGCTTCCTCTGTTGCTGACGTGTCATCCAGTGGCTCTACGGCTCTTGTATCCAGGTTAGTAGCTGCAAATAGTGCACTGAACTTGGCATCTTTGTCCAAACTTGTCCATCTTGTGATTGAGGAGAGCTGTAGCATGTGGGGGAATGGAGTGAAGGTAGCAACAGGCTTCCCAATCAAAATGAGCTTCCTTGCTACCCTGCAGACCAAAGCTACCTCTCCTGCTACAGACAGCAGCCTGAAAACTGCTGAGGGTGCATCCACCACAGCAAAACAGGGTTCTTAATTTCACTGCCAGTGCCAGTTGCTGGGTTAGATTTACTGGATTAAATTGTGCTCTTGCAGTGTCATTATCTTGCAGATGAAGCAGAGTGGAGGCATCCTGGGCCAAAGATTCCAAAAGCTCCTTGGGGTCTTGTGTCTCAGCATTGCATCCTAGAAACAAGTCCCAAAGCCTGGGTTATTATTTAGCTTTTGGAAGGAGGTTTCTCTGGGGAGGGATTGGTCAGGCTGTGGTCATCTGAAGCATGACTCCTGGGAGACCTCTGTGGGACTTGTTCTTGCCCATCCAGCAACAGGAACTGGTCCTTGCAGCTGTGCTGCCTGCTGCACCAGGGCTGCCTCGGGCTTTGCTGTGTGCCCAACAACTTGCTGCTTTCCATCCTGCCATAACTCACCTGGGAGATGAGGAAGGCTTCCTGCGAGCAAGTGGTGAACCTCAGGGTGCTGCAGGGCTCTGGGTGTGAGAGTCCTGCAGAGGTGACATAAATTGAACCAGGAGCTGTTTCTGGCGGGATGTGGCTGGTTGGCCCCTGGGGGCAGATGGCTTGGGCCAAACGCCTCCTGCGGCAGGAAGGGAGGGATGCTGGCCACTTCTCTGCAGGCTGTGTGCTGGGCTGGCCTTGAAGCCTTTGCAGCTGTCTCCTGCCTTCAGTCTGTTGTGGGCAAAACCAATTTTATGTCAGAGAATTTTGATCAATATAATTTATTGCCAATTAACAAACTTTTAATTACCAATTCAGGTATTGAAAAAAATAAAATATACATGAGGACATAGGGAAAACACCTTTTCTTCTCCTGTCCTGGTCTCCAACCCCCTTGCCGCAGGCTGCACTTGAGCAAGGCAAGGGGTGGCCTGGAAGATGGGGCTCAATGTGTTGTGGTTCCTTTTCTTTTGTTGCTCTTCATTCCTTAGTGGATTGCTCTGGTGTAGCTTCTTCCACTGGCTGCAGTGCATATATTTGAAAATATATTCATTATAACCTTTACTTTTAGCATCGTCACAACCTTAATAGATATGTTATAAATTCTGCCCTTCCTCCTAGGTGTTAGGGATTGTTATGGTGTGAAGGTGTATATACAGTCAGTAAAACTCCAGCCCTCTTTCCTGCAACACACCAAAACCAAAAGGATTACAACAGCTGAAACAACCTCCACCCCTTGTTCCTGTGGTCTAGGTTATAGGGCTTGTTATGTAACAAAAGCCACCACTTGCCCCAGCAAAACACAAAACCTGTGGGGGTTACGACACTTGGCATGTGAATTCATTGCAAGCTCGCCCCCTCATCGCTGCAGACTGGGTTACTGACCTTAGCGCCCACTGCTTACACCACACTGCAATGATGCAAATTCTCTATGCCAGGATCAAGGCTCCTTTCCCCTTCCTCCATGTGCTACTTTTCACCTTTAGCCAACCACCTACTGCTTCATCTCTCCTAGGGACTGCATCAAGTGCCTGGCCCAGCCCGCTGGGGCTCAGGAGACAGTGCTCAAACCAGCTCTTGTCTGCAGTTTATTCCCTAATGTGCCTCCAACCATCTACTTCAGTACTTGGGATGAGAGAGGTAAGCTGGGGTCTGTTGCCATGCAGGGTGAGAGCGGCCAGCCCGTTATCAGCAAAGAGCAGTGCCAGTGCACAGCTGGCAGCTGGCTGGCAGCAGCTCCCCTTCACCCTTCCCGTGATGAGACCCAGCACTGCTGTGAGATCCAAAGGGCTGGAGTAAAACGATGGCTGCTCCCGCAGCCTGGAGCATGAGTCAGCCTGTCAGCAAATATTCCAGTGTCCTGGATCTCCCGCAGCCATGGAGTCTTCTGCTCCATGCTAGTTCTGGGAAGGGGGCTACTTGTCCTTCTCTGCAGGCCTGATGCCTGTGCAGCAAATCATAAGAATTTCCCTGGGTGCAGCTGTAGAAAATTTGGGTATTGTGTTTCCTTCTCTCCTTATCTTTTTGCCTTCCTAGTGGAAAAGCTACCTTGGGAGCAGAGGAAGCTGCTGCGATGGAAAATGTGCACAGTCACACCCAACATAGTGAAGCAAACCGTTGGCAGGTCCCACTTTAGAGTCAGCAAAAGTAAGTTGTGGGAGGCTGACAGCATATGATACATCGTGTCCTCCCTCACCTCCAGCCCATGTGCACGAGAAGGCAGGCTGCCTGCGAAGAGCAGAGCAGGAGCGATACAGGCTTGGCACTGCAGGATGCTGGGTTCCTATTTCTACCCATCTGTCCCACCATATCTGAGCTCTGTGGGTGCTGGCAGGGCCTTATTGCCCTCTTGGCTTGTCCCAAGCGTGGACCACAAGGTCTTACTCCTGGGTGGCCAGGAGCTGAGACAGTGTGTGAGGCAGCAGAGCTGTGCTCTAGCTTGTTTGAGCTGTGCCTCTAGATGGTGCTGCCACTCTAAGGAGGCTGGAGCTTATCTGGTGCCAACCCCAGCATTGCTGTCCCTTCTCCCCATGTGCTAAGGAAGAAGCCATCCTCTCTGACCACAGCCAGAGAGTTCTCAGGGTTGGGATCTTGTTGCTGAAGAGATGTGTAGGAGAGGGCTGGAGCTGGGGAAGCACTGAGTATTTGCAGCTATGATCCATACCCTGGAGTGTGACTTCCCAGCAGTGCTTAGGGTGCTCCTGCGTGCATCAGGAGCCCTCTGTGCAAACCATTTTGGGGCTGTAATGGGACACAAAGGGCAGAGCAAGACCTAGGAATTCTTGCAATCCTACATGTCCCTCTGCAGTGCGGCACTGATTAGCCAGCTGCTTCATTTACCTGCGGTAAAGCAGGGAAGTCAGGGTGCTGAGGGATCAAAGCCATTCCTTTGAACCTGTGTCTGCCCAGATCCCTGCAGCAATTGTGTTTGCAATGATATGACCCACCTGGTTAACTGGATCCCACTCACAGCCCTTGGTTTGGCAGCTTCACAGTAACCAGTACGTGTACTTTGTGCTATTGCTGTGCAGCATCCGTGGCACACTTCTGCTAGCCCAGGAGATGGGGTGCTGGTGGGTTGAGGGGGGTGTTGTGAGTGGCAGGGTACTCAGTCATGGACTTTTCTGGTTTTCCTGCAGAAAGCAATGACTGGCTGGGTTGCTGGGGCCACCACATGAAATCCCCCAGCTTCAGAGCCATCAGGGAGCACCAGAAGGTAGGGGATGTTTTGAGCTGACCTCCTTCACATGTGTGGAGAGCATGTTGGGAGCAGTTTGTGTGCCCCTCTCTTCAGGGCCAGGTGTTTGCTGTGCAGGCTGTCCCTGCAGTGTCCCTTCCAGTGCGTGGCAGCTGGCATTCCTGTGCTGGCAGATGAGCTCAAGAGACAGTTACAGCTGGGTGAGCATCCCCACTGTGAGGGTGGCTCTTGTACAGACTGAAGCTGTAGCCAAGCTGTGTTCACTTGTGAACTCGTCTAAATTCAGTCATTGTTGCTTAAAGCAGTTCTTCCTCTGGCAGAACTGAGTGGTGGGGCCAGTGCCCTCTGCCAGCACAGCCAGAGGGGATGTACCTAACTCAGATCACAAAAGGCTCAGGAGTGCACGTGACTTAGGGAACATGCAGGGGACCAGAGGATTGGTACCTATCACACATACATGTTTGTTCTGGAGAGCCGTGGTGCTCCAAACTGCTCAGTCTTGAGGCAGCATCCAGGTTTGGAAGCTAGCAACCTCCAGCACTGTTCCTGTCCTGCTGTGGGGTCTTTCTATCCCCAGAGCTTGTGTTGCATGGGCAGGACTGACATACAGTTTGGAAGTAAGTGGGAAACCACTGGGGTGGAGGGTACTGACAGAGGAAGCTCAAAGGCTGAGGGTTAGTGCCCTGCGGCTGCTCAGACATCAGAAGGAATGAGGTGGCAGCTGCTGGCTTTGCAGCCGGTGTTGGTCACCATGTGGGTGTTTGTCCCTGCAAAGCTTCAGGAGCAGGTGGGTCCTGTCTTGGTGTAATCCTGGGAGGGGTGAGCAAAGAGTGTTACCCTGCACTGTGTTCAGAAGGGATGTATCCTCTGGCCAGGGAGCAGCAAGGGGTGGGCAGGGAGGTGGGGAAGCAGGGAGATCTCACAGCATCTGGGTTCCTTTCCAGCTAAATCACTTCCCTGGTTCATTTCAAATTGGGAGAAAGGACCGTCTGTGGCGCAACCTGTTGAAGATGCAGGCTCGCTGTGGGAAGAAGGAGTTTAACTTCTTCCCCCAGTCCTTCATCCTGCCCCAGGACATCAAATTACTCAGGAAAGCATGGGAGGAAGGAGCTAGCCACCAGAAATGGATTGTAAAACCAGTAAGTGCAAAGCAGAGCTCAATCTTCTCTCCCATTGTAGTAGCAGGGAGAAAATCGGGTCCCTTCTTTGTGTTTTGCAGCCAGCATCAGCAAGAGGCATTGGTATCCAGGTCATCCACAAATGGAGCCAGCTCCCCAAAAGGAGACCACTGCTGGTACAGAGGTGAGTGAAGGAAAGCAAGGTTGACACACAGCCTGGGACCTCCTAGTGCCTAGTCTCTCTGGCCGGGTCTGAGCCACTGCCATTATGTGGCAGAACAGAAGCACCTGATTTGTGTCTAGAAACTTCTCAACTGCCTGGGTATAATGCTGTGCTGGAAGTCTGGATCTGTCAGCTGCAGCTGGGCCTACTAGAATGCTGCTCGCTCTGTGTAGATTTTTGAGGTCTTGGGCACAAACTGGCTCCACAGACTTTCTGGAACTTCTGTCTGGCAGGTGATCAGCTTCAGCTCTGCTGTGATCCTGATCTCACTGGGGTTTGGCATCTCTGGGGCCTGGTCCCTTTGGAGGCAAAGAAACCTTATCCAGTGCCCACAAGCACAGTGGGAAGAGAAGTCGCAGGGAAGAGGTGGCAATTGTCAAAGATTTGTTGTTATCCAAGTTAGAATGGATCAGTAAGAGCCTCCGTGTGTGTGGATGTTGGTCAAAGGGTTTTCTCGAAATAACAGGATTTTCAGATTTTCCTTCCCCTTCTTCCAAAAAATGGAATAGCTCATCTTGGTTTGAGGCTGCTTTCTGGGAAGGTTCTTGGGAGGGCAGGAAAACTGTCCAGTGTTTGTCAGACAGGGAACTGGTGTGTTGGCTTCTCTGTTCTCCCTGCCCACTTTGCATGTACAGTGATAAGCTTTCGTGTGGAAAATCATGAACTTCTGAGGTAAATAATCAAACGATTTGGATGAATATTTCCAACTGTTTCCGCTTACTGAACCAAACCATCTGTGGCCCACTGCATGTCCTAAATGTTCCTGATTTTGATCAGTCTTGTGGGTGTGGAAAAGCTAGTGTGCCTTAGAGCTGGGGAAAATCTCTTCAAAATGGAACTGAGCAGAAGGGAATGCTGTTCATGTGCTGCAAGATCTCCCTGTGCATGGGAGAGGTTTTCTGTCTCATCTTGACTGTGATGCACTTAACTTGGCAACGCTGTGCAAAAGGGATTCTGCATTGATCCCTGGTTTTGCCAAGCCTTCTGAGTTGGGTGCTAGAGATGGTCCTGCACCTGGAAACCATAACCCTTCCCCTGGTGCTTGCTTCCCTCTGCAGATACCTGCAAAAACCCTACCTCATTGGCGGGAAGAAGTTTGACCTGAGGATCTACGTTTATGTCACTTGCTACGATCCCCTCAGGGTCTACCTGTTCAAGGATGGATTGGTTCGCTTTGCTAGTTGCAAGTAGGTTGTGTGGGAGAGCAATGCTGGAGGGCTGCCTCAGCGCTGAGGCATGGGTGGCTGTGGTACCCACCTCGGCTGGGGCAGGAGGTGGTCATCTCGTATATGGTGATGCTTAAAGCTCTAGCTTGCTTGCTCAAGAAGTAGTCTGGAAACACGTGGGGTCACTGCAGGTCACCGTGCTGAAGGGGAATGTGAGAGCATGCTTCGTTCGTCCACCTTTCCCAAGGCAAGATCAGTGCAAAGCAGTTCCTGAAATATGCTGTCTGTGCTTCGTACTGCGTAAGAGCTGGCATGCCAGAAACTGAGATATTTCTTACAGTTTTGACTATATTGCCTCGGGCTGCTGCAGTTCTGTCAGTGCTTTTGCTCACTGATGCTCTGGTCTTTTCTGAAGGGCATTCTGTGGGGATGGGATTGTATCTCACTGCCCCAGGTCTGCTCTGTGTCTCTTGCTTTGTCCCATCAGCTCTGGGGCCGTGGGGACAGAGGCAGCCTGGGAAAGGGAGGCAGCAGGGCTGGTGGGTGGCTGAGAGTGGTCTGAGATGAGAACAGAGTTTCTGCCTGCGCCATGGGCCTGGAGGCAGCTGGTTCAAGCTGACTGCTTGTGGTCTCATTGCCTTCCCCAGGTACTCCTCCTCAATGAAGAGCCTCAGCAACAAGTTCATGCACTTGACCAACTACAGCGTGAACAAGAAGAATGCGGAGTACAAGTCCAACTCAGATGAGACTGCTTGTCAGGGACACAAATGGTAGGTGCTTCTTTTAGGGAACAGGGCAGCTCTTTCTATTCCCTGTTAGGTCAGCCTTTTTTCACTATTCCTACCCAAAACCTGAAGGTGCTTCCTGTATCCTCTGCTCATGCTTGAGGAAATTGGAGGAGCAGAGTGATTTTAGCATGGGTTGGCGTCGATGGAATCTGGACAGTCTCCCTGGCTTGTGACTCATTCTGTCCTCTGCCGCTTGGGCTGTGGTTGCCATTCACCCCGCCTGTGTCTGTGCTGTTCCCTGCTTCCAACACTGCTCTCATCTGTGCTCATTCATCCCCTTGCCCTGTTGTGGGGGGGATGGGATGTGGTTAAAGCAGAATCTGATTTTTTGCTGTTAGAACTTGAATGGGTAACTGTGATGTTTAAATTGGCTAGATGGAAGCTTCTTCCCATCTCGCTCTTGACTCCCCTGTGGAGGCAGTGAAGGGGACAATTGTGGTGCAAAACTGATCTTTTATGTGCTACTTGGTGTGAACAGGAGAAGCCGTGCCATTCTAGGCATTTGGGAGAAGGGCTGCAGTCTTGCAGGAATTCCTGTTCCCTGCTGTCTCATGGGTGGACTGATCCAAGGCCCCAGGCACTTGTCTCTGATTCCACAGCGGTGTTTGAACTCTTAAAAATAGTGCAGGATAGAGTTCTCAATTCATGGGCCTGGATAGGGCTACTTCATTTCAAAGGAAGCTGCAGAAAATGGTTTGCTGTGGTAGGATTGCTTTCTCAGACCTGGACATGCTGCACAGTGGTCTGTTCCTCCACTGGAACTTTTGAGAAGGGTCTGTTGTCCCCCCAGCAGGTGAAATCCCATGGTTGGGGTTGGGATTGTGTGGGTTTTCGTGCTGCCATGCAAGTCAAAGCTGACTGCTCCCACGTTAAAGATGAGAGTGGCTGTAATCCATTCCATCTTGTATGCAGGAAGCATGACCTTTGGATTCCTGGCCATTAGCCACAGTCACACTTAAGCAACATCTAGCATCCTTGGCTCAGCACTCGGTGTGGTGTGGGAAACTTCTATAATAGCAGAGATGCTCCCCCCTACCATCTTGTTCTCCACATTTTTCAAAAATTTTTTTCCACCCCCAAAGCCTCAGTGAAATGGCTCTAGCTAAAAGATTTACAGGGGTCTTGCTGGATTCTTGCTGAGCTGCTTTGCAGTGCTGCGGGGGAAGGCCTGCAGGAAGGGGAGGTTTGCTGAGGACACAGAGGGGGAGGGAAGAGGAGATCTGGGCCTGACTTACCTTGCTCATGTGCTAATTTGATACCTATTACTCCAGTGCTGGGACAAGTTTATGACAGTTTTATGCTCCTAGTAGCTTGGGCTTACAAGACCAGTGTCCAGGCTGGGGTGGGCAGCAACCAGGAGCTGAGGGGTTTGAGGGTGGCAGAAGGATGGCCATGCCAGGGAAGGGCTTCATCAAGGCTCCCTTCTGCTGCTTTCCCTCCCCTAGCAGGGCTGGGCAGCATGGGGCCACAAAGCTACCTCCTTTGCTTTCTCTCTCCCAGGGCACTCAAAGCTCTCTGGAGTTACCTGACCCAGAAGGGAGTTAATAGCGAGGCCATCTGGGAGAAGATTAAGGACATCGTTATCAAAACCATCATTGCGTGAGTCCTGGCACCCCTTGCTCTGTGCCTGGCTGTGGGGTGCACCCTGGCCCCTCTGGCTCTCCAGTCCCCTCTCAGCCCAGTCCTTTTGCTCTTAATCTAAATGCTATCACCACTGTTGGCTTCAGTATTTCTGGATCCTTCCTTTCGTGCTGTTACTTATGCTCATGCTGCAGTAGCTACAATAGGTAAACAGACCTTACATTTTCTGGGTCTGCCTGCGGTGCAGGAGGGGAGGCCAGGAGGGTGCGGTGTTCCAGACACTCTGCCCAGCTTGCCACCCGCTCCCCTGCTTGGCCAGGGTGCCTGAAAAGAGAGGTCCCCTGGTGCGGGATGGATCTTGTGTTCAGAGGTGGATCCTGCCCGACGGAGCAGGGATGCTCAGGATGCAATGCTGGATCCATACGCAGTGCAGCAGCAGCAGCTCACAGGCCTGCGTCGGTCTCTCAGCCCACCCGTTCCCACAGCATGTGGCTGCATACGCTCTCAGAACTGGCAGCGTGTGCTGCGAGCAGCCAGAGCTCTGCTGTCTGACTGTTGGAAACAAGCGTTTTCTCCTTGGCTTGCAGATCTGAGCCCTACGTGAACAGCCTGGTGAAAATGTATGTGCGGCGGCCGTATTGTTGCCATGAGCTGTTCGGGTTTGACATCATGCTGGATGAAAACCTCAAGCCCTGGATCTTAGAGGTCAACATTTCCCCAAGGTACAGCAGATTCTGAACCACAGCAGAGTGGAGAACGGCCTTTCTTTTACCACAAAGTGAATTTGGCTCGTCATGTCCCCTGCACCCTGTGCTGAAAGACTGTGGGCTTTGAAGCCTCCCAGTCCAGACTGCAGGAATCAAAGTCCTCCCTGTCTGCGAAAGCAACATCCATCCGCAGCTCAGAAAGCTTCGCTGGGCATGCTCCAGCTAGAGCCAGGGAAGAGTATGTTAAAAAAGGAAGGCCAAGGAGGGATGTGTCACGTAGGGAACGGGTGATGGCAGAGATTTCTTCCTTGCGTGGGCAGAAGTGATCAGCGACTCCACTGCCTCGTGCACTGTTCTTTGCCTGCTGACGGCACCCGGCCGTGCGGTGTTGGCTGCACAGGCAGGGCTGGGAGCTGCAGTGGATCTGAGCACGGCCTCTCCTGCCTGCGAGAGTGGATGAGTGTCAGCTAGACATGGAACTCTGGTCCCATATGGGTATCTGGGGAAGGATTTGCCAAAAATCTGGAGAGAGGTGGAGAAATGAAACATTTCTGGTGAGGGGCCCCCGTTCAAAGAGCTGTTGTCAGGATTTTTCTCTCAATGTCTCATGGCTGCTGCGATGAGACAAAGGGCAGGCTGGGTTTTGTGTCCTGGTCAATAGTAACCCAGGGAGTGATCTCGGGGCAGCAGGGCTCTGCATCTCCATTCCAGCACTCAGGCTGCTGTGATGCTTCCTCCCTGCAGCCTCCACTCCAACTCCCCTCTGGATGTGAGCATCAAGGGCCAGATGATCCGGGACCTCCTCAACCTCGCTGGCTTCGTTCTGCCCAACACAGACAGCGTGGCCTCAGGGGCACAGACACGAAGTGGCTCTACCTGCAGGTCAGCCCCCTTCTCTGTCAGAGAGGCATGCTTTTCTGTTGGGGGGATTTCATCTGGGGACTGCTTGCAGACCAGCAAACGCTGGTTTCTGTGCTGTTGAGAGCCTGGGCTTGCTGGTCCTTCAGCTGTGGGTCTGAGGCACTTGCATCATTGTCTGAGTATCTGGTTCCCGCGGTCTCTTTGAGGCAGAAGGATTTATGCCCTCTCTGCAGGTCCATAGTTGGAAGTGAGGCCAGGATAACTTGTGCTTGCTCTGCAGTTAGTTGAGTCGTGCTCTCTCCTCCTTCCCTCTGCCAGAACTAACGCGATGCTGAGCCGTACTGCCTCCCTTTTTGCTTGGAGAGCTGGCTGGCTGTGCTGGGGCTGGATCCGCTTACCCTCCACCCCAGGGCTGACGTGCTGCTGCCTTGAGCAAGAGGAGCACCTGTTATTTTGAAAAGGCTGGGGCGATCTGTTCCTGAGGCAGGACTGCAGGTGTCAGAGGCTGTAGACCTTTGGGTAGGGGCGTGCACAGTCTTACCTTGCAGCTAACATGACTGTTTCTTGCATAAGGCCAATTCCTGGGCATGTGTCCACCCAGGTCCCTGCTCCTTCCGTGTTTCACCATAGCTCGGGATTATACTGGTTTCAAACCTGACGGTGAGGGGAAACCAGTCCTGTTCTCCGCAGCAGAGCGGCTGCTGGCCGTATGTCACTGGAGGAGCAGCTTGCTGGGTTGAGCACCAGCACGTGGTGATGTATGGGCACGCTGAAAGATGGGACTCTTGCCCTCTGCCTGCCCTGTGCCTTCAGCAAAGGGAGAAGCTTGGAGCACGGGCCCGTTCCAGTCAGGGAGCTCTCGCCAGCTCTTCTGCGGCGCTTTGATCACACGCTCATTTGCAGCTTGTGATGGAGGTGCTGAAGGGCAGGTGTCCTTGGAGGGACCTGCAGGGGATTAAGCGGATCCTTAACATGGTTCAGATGATGCATTACCAGAGTTCTTGCATCCAGGGGCGAGCTCACTTAAGCGTATCTCCTGCTCTGGGAAGGATATGAAGGGGGTTTTTTGCATATGGGCAGAATTCCAGTAGATCTGTATGTTCCCCAGGCACCATGCAGCACAGCCTCGAGGCTCTGCTCTCCCTGTTTGGATCCACAGAAACTAATTATTTTTGCAGCAGCAGAACAAATTAGCTGTGTTGATATAAGAGTTAAAAGATGTTGGACAAGTGTCTCTCAGACTCTGGCATCCCCAAATGATTCAGCGGGCTGCTTAGAATAGTTTGGGTAGTTGCTGGTCAGATCATACAAAAGGCCAGGATTTCCCATGGCATGTGGAGCTGGAGATGAATTCGAGTCTTGAGAATCCTTGGATGTTACAGGAGGAAGTTTTTGATCCAAGAGTTCTCTGCTTCCCTGCACAGTACCAGTACTGAGTTCTCGTACCCCAAGCCCTGTGGTTACAGTTGGGAAGCTGCCTTCCAAGTGGGATGTAAGCATGAGATCCCACCAGGCTTCAAATACTGTGAATCGGGTCATGGTGTGTCTTTGGCCCTCTTGCATCCTGTGTGGGTGTGAGTTGATGGTTCACCTTTTGGATGAAGGAACACTGAAATGCCTTAGCAAGGAGCTGACAGGACCCTCCTGGTTCCCTTGCCCACGTCTTTCCTGGGTCTGTGCTGATGCACAAGGCTGTGGGTGCATCGCTGATCTCAGAACTCGTGAAATCCTTGGAGAAAGTGTTCTCTCCTCTGTGGCATCTTCCTGAGGGTGTCACTGCTCTAACAGAAGTTGCTGGGAGCAGCTCTGCCATGACAGGGCTTTGTCTTCTCCTCTTAAATGCTCTACTGCTTCTTCTTGTGTCCTCAGTCTGGGCAGTGCTTTGAAGGAGAAGCCTAAGCCGGCATCTGAGCATTTCATAGCAGAGAAGATGAAGAAGGCCTATTACTTGACGCAGAAGGTGCCTGACCAGGTATGACACAGTCTCCTCTGATACTGGCATCATACTGCCAAGCCACTGTTCCAGCCAGTCCCACATGTCTATCCCTTGTCCCTTTCCAGATTGTGCCCCTCTGTGGGGACATCCAGATGGTGGGTGAGCACTTGGGGTCCAGTTGGGTTACCAGACAGCTGGTCAGAAATAAATTGGGTTTGCTTAAGCCACTGCTGCACTGGCCCATTTTTACATTAAAATGGGCATGTGCTGAAGGGCATGTTACCCACCAGTCCCCAAACAGGGTCTGAGCATTGCCTGTTCCTCCTTGTGTCTCTGTGCAGCTCTTATAGTCGTTGCCAGCTGACCCTGTGCAGATTAGCAGGGACATGTGCCTTGTGTGCCACCTGACAGCGTCCATAAGAGAGGCTGGGCTGCAGAACAGGGCATCTCCTCAGCTCTGTGCAGCACTGATGTCACCACTGAGCCTAGATTTCTTCATTTTTCCCATGGTCTGTGTCCCAAAGATCTCAGACATATGGAGACCTCTGCCTGAGAGGGTTTGAGTGGGAGGGAGTGGGGAGGTGGGAACAGGGACCGACAGAATGTAGTTCAGTTCTCCCTGACCCTGGGTTGCTCTTGTCTGCAGGATTTTTATTCTTCAATCTTGGACATCCTGACCCCAGATGATATTCGCATCCTGGTGGAGACAGAGGATGAGTATTCCCGGCGTGGGCAGTTTGAGCGGGTGTTTCCCACCCACGTCTCCATGCGGTACCTGTGCTTCTTCGAGCAGCCTCGTTACTTCAACATCCTGGTGACCCAGTGGGAGCTCAAATACTACTTGAATAAACACAAAGGTAACTGCCATCCGAGAGCCTGGCACAGTCACTTGAGTCAGGCAAGCTGCCTGCCGGCAGTCGTGGGAGACTTCTGAGCTACGCATGTTGAGGGGGAGCTGCCTGCCTGCACGCTAGCCATAGGAAATGTGTTACCCTCCCAGACTGCTTGAAATATCATGAAAAGCTTATTCTGAGTTGATTAGAGGTGCTGACTGCTCTGGTAAACTCAGCACCAGCACTTCTAGGTGCCCTGGGGCTGAAGTAGGCTGGGATGCTGCCTTCAGCCTGGAGCTCCGACCTCTTACTGTGTTCCTCTGCCTTCTTTTGAGGGAAAAACAACTGGAGTTGCTGGGCTTTGCTCCTTTCAGGTGATCTGTGAAGTGAAGGAAAAATCTGGCCTATTCCATGGTCTCCTGCTGCTTTCTAATTGTTGAAGAACTGTCAGCATGCACACAGAGGGATTTTTCCTAAACACTAGAAATCTAGCTATCATTTCCACCTTTCCAGGGCACAACTCTGTATTTTAATAAAAAACATCCTTTAATGAGGTGTAAGTGGGCTGGACCAATTCCTTCTCACCCAGGGCTGTCTCTATCAGGGCAGCAGTAGAGGCTATTTAGGAGAGAGAACCAGTGAGGTCTAGTGTGAAGAGTTAGAGAGCATAAAAAGAAAGAGACTGTGGCTCCAGGCTCTCCATCCAGAATTTGGTCTAGCTGGAGAGGCTTCTGCAGGAGCCAGCTCTCCACTGAGGTGACCATATGTGTGCTTCTAGCCTGGCTGTCATGCAGAGAAAAAAAAAAAAAAAAAAAAAGCTTTTGTCACTTTTCACTGGTGTTAAAGCAGATATCAAAGAGGTCAGTAACAGTCTTTCACAAAGAAACAGTAACCTCATAGCCCTCTCCAGCTATGCTGTCAGCATGTGTCATCCTTTGCCTCGCTAATACCTTTCCTGGATGCTCGCCTGTCAGCTGGAAGAAAGATCCTGTCATTGTCCACACTGAAGTGCTGCCCTGAACTTTGTCACTCGGGCCAGGGTTCTGGTTTAGTGCTCCAGCTTCCCCGAAGCAGCCCAGTGAGCAGATTTGCTCTACCCCCTTGTTGCTCTTCACCTCTAAACAAAACCCAACCTCCCTCTGGCCCTTTCCCACTCATGTATGTTCCATGCAGCCCTCCTCTCTCCCTGGCCAGCAAGGTGCAAAGCCCAGGCTGGTGCACAGAGCTGGGGCAGGGCTGCCGAGCTGCCCTGCTCCTCTCAGCCCCCAATGCATGGGGGTTTTATCCAAGGTTCTGGGGCTTGCTGAAAGGTCACCGAGGAACAGAGCTTAGACAGCAAAGATTCCTCCTATAGCCGGGGCTGGTATCATATAGCAAACCACAGTAACTCCAGCTGGACAGCATCAGGTTCTTGGCCATTGATCTGCTGGTTCTTAAATTTTAAGGCACCCTAGCTTGTGCTATGGCTCTAGGGATCTTAAAAAAGAAAACAGGAAGGGAGCAGTCCTGGATTCCTCAACATTTCTGGATTAGCAGAGAGCAGGGAGCTTGACTGTAGTGGGGACAGCTAGCAGGAAGCCGTGGGGGAAGTGGAGCCTGTTCAGTGCAGTTGGACACATGGCTCTGCTTCAAGGTGACTGCCCCCCCCCCCGTGCTCTGGAGCAGCACACCTCATGTGTGTCTGGAGGAGCAGCCCCTTCCAGTCACACCGCCGGTGAGCTTGGTCCGTGCCAGCCTTGCCCTCTGCCAGGGGTGGAGGCCGGATCTCAGCCCATGTCAAGCTTTGGGTGGATCCATGCAGGGAGGAGATGATGTGCTGAGATGCTGCAGCTGATTAGTGCTGTGCGAGGAGGTTGCCTGAGCTGCCCTCCTCTGGAAAAGGGGCCAGTGACAGCAAAGCTGCTCTACATTTGCGTTGTAGGAAATTTCACCGGTGCAACCCAAATCAGGTGCTACCACTGGCTGGCACCAGGCTCAAGGGGGACAGCCAGTCTGGTCTAGTTCGGCAAATCCTGTATTGCCCCAGTTTTCCTGCTTAGCTGAGCCTGCTGCACGGTGTGTCTGGCTCCCCGGGAGGAAGGCAGGCACTGCGGCAGCCCACGTGCTGGCGCTCGCTGATGTTTGCTTGTACAAAGGGTGAACGCCCTTGGTTTACCCCGTGTTTGCTGGGGCTCAGGCACGTGTTCAAGTAGTTATTGCGTAGATGTACTGCACAGTTAGTTCACTCTGTGCAGCATATTTGCATGCCTCATGCTGGGAAGGTTTAACTCTCTGCAAACTTGGTTGTTCGTTCTCGCTTCTTGTCTTTTCTGTCACTTCCCAGGTCTGGAGCTACTGAAGAACTGGTGTGTCAAAGGGTACCACACTGGGGCAGGGATGGATTTGGCCCAGACGGTGCGTATGGCTGTGGGTAAGCTTAGGGAGAAGTGGTTGTTTGCCTGGGCAGAGTTGGGCAGAGAGCCTGCTTGTTCTGCTTCCTATGGCTCCTGCCCTCTTCTTCCCTCTCTGCCAAGGCCTCCAGGAGTCTGGAAAAAACCCGTGCTTGTGTACCTCCCACAAACATGAAGTCCACCCAGTATATCAGATCTGCCAGTACTTTGCATCTGAATATTCTTGAGTATCCCAGAACAGGCACAGCCCTACATATTTGGCACCTGGCTTGCCCTTTATTCTCCTCCGTGAGGGAGCCATCTCTGTCTGTCACTCCTGTGCCTTACAGCAGGCTGATCCAGTGAAAGAAACCCACTCTTTTGACCTCAAGATGCTCTGCTCCCACTTACAGCAGAGGGATTCATTAAGCAGAGAGCAAAGACTGTTCTGTTTGCTATTCTGGGAACAGTCTGGTGGCAGTGACGATGCACAGCAGTGTGAGGCAATTCAAGCTGAAGCACACTAGGGCAGCCTACAGCAGAGCACAGCGGGCTTGAGGGATTTTTGTCACAACCTAAATAGCCATTTGATTGTCTTTCTCTTGTCCTGCAGTGGTCGGAGCCAAAGTCTTTCTTCCTCCAGAAGAGCAGTGTTCAATCAAATGGCCTCAGCAAACTGGAACTGGGTGGACTGGGGTGAGTTTGCACTGGCTGTGACATGCATGTTCATAGCATGGCTTTAGGACTGGTGTCCTGAGAGAGAAAGCAGCTTTGTTTAAGGGGAGAGGAACAGGTTGGCTTTGCAGGCTCTGAAGCCAGCCTCCGCTCTCTGGAGAGCCAACTAGTGGGGTTGGCATGATGTCTGCATAAGTGGGCATGTCTCCTTGGCACTGGACACCCAGCTCAGATGGGAGTGGGGCCCCGAACAGCCGGACTGGGTGATGTTGGTGGTTGTCGTGGTCAGGACATGCTGATAAGATGTTCCCCATGGGGCCCCCCCACAGGGATTTCTGTGGGCTCTGATGTGGCCAGCAGTGAGCAGAGGCCCTCAGCCACAGCGTGGGACTGGGGGATCAGTGAGGCCTCTGGGACTGCTGCACTCTGCCAGCTTCCCTGAGCACAGCTGGGCTGCAAAATGGCTGCTGCTGGCCCTGACAGCTTCTTGCAGAAAGGTGGAGGACTGGGTTTTGTTTGGGTGAGCTGAGGTGGAAGGTAGGCACAGCCCTGGTCTCCAGTGTTAAGTGAAAGAGCATCCTTGCTCCTGTGCCCAGGCCAGGATGGAGTTAGGTTTACATGTAGCCAGAGAGATCCAGCTGTGACCCTAATGTCCCATCACTGTCTTGGATGTCTGTTGGGGTGAGTGGTGCTGCCTGGGATGGAAGATCAGATTGAGTAGGTGAGCCTGGCAGCCCTGTCTGCGAGTCTGTGTGTAATGACACCGCAGATGAATGTTGCTCCATGGCCCTTTTGATCCTTTCTCACTGTCCCTAAGCAGTACGAGGTCTCCATTCTCCTGCAGCACACTTCTCCCTTCAGCTGGTGAGGACCTCACGAGATGCCTGGAGCCCAGCCCTACTCAGAGCTTACCTCTCAACAAGTGCACTGGTGAAGCCGACCAGAAACCTGCTGGCTGCCTCTCGGACACTGCCCTGGTGATGTGACCAGGCAGCTGCCGTCCCTCCCCGGGGACACCTCAACCTACCTCAAAGGAATACACAGGAGCTGGCTCTGGAGAGCAAGGACTGTGGGAGCTCCCTGCACTCCACACTTGCTTCTGGGACTGCTTTTAGAGAGGGATGTTTTACTGCACAAAGGGGAGAGCTGTGTGACTTGCCTTTTTAAAACAAAGGGCAGAGCCTGGGGAAGTGGGGTTTGTCTGGCCTTTGGCCTAGGCTGCCCTTAAGGCCTGATGTGGTGGTGGTGTTTTCTTTGCTGCGTGGGAGCTGGCTGACCTTGGAGTCAGCCCGGCTGAACCTCTGCTCTCCTGTGCCTCTGGGCACTTGTCCTGAGCTGCTGGAAGCTGTGTCTGCTCCTGCTCCTCTGCAGTCTGGAGAAATGTCCCCAGCCACCACCCCTCTTCTCTGGAAGGAGCAGGGCTTGGGGCTCTCAGCCGACCTGTCTGATCCTTTCTGAATGCCTGTGCCAACATCCTGCCCTCCCCCAGCCTCGGGGCCTGGGGGAAACTTTGGGCTTGCACATTGCTGCTCAAGAGAGACGTGGGTACCAGCAGAGCTCCAGTTTGTCGTGGGGACAGTAGGGCTGCCAGGGAGGGAGCATCCTCTCGAGGCTGTCAGCTCTCCCAGGTGACCTGCAGCATGTGTGCGGGGACTGCAGGCTGGTGCTCTTCTCCTGGGCTCTGCTCTCTATTTTTCCTTTGTTTCTCAAGGATTTCTATTAAAGTTTAACGCTCAGCTGCTCTCCTGGCCTCCATCTACCTCCGTTTCCCTGACCTGTTTGGGGCTGCAGGGCAGCTTGGCTCTCCGCACGTTTACCAAGCTCTGGTACCAGATAGGGTTTGTGCCACCACCCTGATGTTCCCCTGTCCTTCCTGGAGCTGGGGGGTCGTTCTTGCTGCCGCACAGCAGTCAAGCACGCCCCCCTGCATGGGGGGAGTGGCTCCCAGCATAGCTGCTGTGGCCTGGGGTCTGCCTGTTGTCCTGGGGACTCTCCCGCAGATCATTAACCGAGGGGGACAGAGCAGCCCAGCCAGGCATCAGGGGAAGGGAGGGTCGGGTCCTCTGAGCTGTCCCTTGCCTGTTTTGGGTTGCGTCCCCCCAAGCCTAGCAGGGGGATGCTGGGCACTTGAGCAGGTTCCTTGCGGCCAGGGGAGGTGCTGAGCCCCACGTGTGGGCCCCGGGGGCTTGCAGAAAGCCCTTCCCTCCCCTCTCCCCTCAGCCCCCTGCTGCCCTGAGCTGGGCCCTGTTTCTCCGGTCTCCTTGGTGACAATCTCATCGCTCCTCGGCTTCTCTCCAGCACCTGAAAATAGCCGCGAAAGTGGAGATGCCTGCTGCCTTCCCTGCTGCCAGCACCCGGCGGTGGCCAGGCTGGAGCCAGGCTGCCCGGGCTCAGCGCAGCTGTAAGGGCCTGGCCCCATCCCACCCCCCGCACCGCTGCGGGGCACGGACCACCCGGGACCGGGGCAGCCGCCGTGTCCTCGTGTCACCTCAGCCCTGCTGGCCTGTCCCCAGCGCCGAGCACCCTGCCTCCTTGCTCCTCCTCCCTGCCTTGGGGTAGCACCAGGGGAGTGGGGCTTTACTCCTTGCACCCTGCCACGGGCCAGGGTCTAGCTGTCCCCCAGGAGTCGGCCAGAGTGGCTTTGTCCCCTTAGCCTGGCAGCCACCAGCCCACTCGCCCACGGCTGCTCCTGGGCCAGACCGGCAGCCGGCCAAGGGAGTTATTTGAACCTTCCTGAAATAGAAATGGAGCCTGGAGCGAGCAGAGGGTGGGCAGGAGGGGGTGGCCCCGGGGGTGAGAAAGGAGGTTCCCTGGCAGGCACCGGCTGCCCCCCGATGTGAGACCCGGGGTGGCCGGGGCACGGCTGAACCGCAGCAGGACCCTGGGCAGGGGCAGGCAGGGACATGTTAGCGCTGGGGGGGGGGGGGGAAAGGTCCCCAGCTGCTCCTGCTGCAGCTCAGCCCGGGGCTGGATCCAGGAGGGATCCCTCAGCCATTTCCATCACCCTTTCCCTCGCATCCCCGGGGCCGTGGCCATCCCCTCCAGCCCCGGGTGGCGCAGTGGCTGCGGGCACTGCACGGTGGTGTCAGCGGCGTGTGTCCCCCGTCCCCCCCCCCCCCCCCCCGCGGTGGGGGCATGGCTGGCATTGCTTGCTGACACCCTATCTGCCAGGGCCCCGCCAGCCACGGGCCCAGAATAGCAGCGCTGCCCCGCAGTCAGCATGGAGCGACTCCCCGGTCCCGCTGCGCCCCAGGTACCGCCAGGGTGGGTGGGTGGGGGGGGGCCGGGGCTGGCAGCCCCTCGCTTGGCGAACAGGCCACCCCCGGGGTTGTGGGGTTGTGGGGGGGCTGGTGGTCCCCTTCCCACAGCCAGGCAGATACAGGGACAAGGACGCAGAGTGCAGCCTTGCCTGCCTGCCAGCCCCGGCTGTCGCCAGCCCCTTGGGAAGGGCTGGGGACATTGGTGTAGGGTCGCCTCCTTCCCAGGATTGGCTCTGGGCTCCTTAGGGAGCAGTCCCTGCACCTTTGTTCTTGTAGGGTGGCTCATAAACGTTGGTTCTGCCAGTGGGTTTGTGCTGTGGGGTTGCTCTTCCCGATGCACGTGCTGCTTTGTTATTGTAGGGTTTCCTGGGGACTGGGGGGCATGGGGTCGGCCAGTCTGCTGTGCTCGCCTCCCCCCAGCCTGGGGCTGTCCCCCTTGTTATTGTAGGGTCTCCCGGAGCAGACCTGGTCCCCAGGTGGCAAGCGGGGCTGGCGGGGCTCCCAGCATGGGAGGAAGCAGGACTGGAATTTACACCTTGGGGTTGAGAGAGGAAGAGGATGGGTGGGGAGCTGCTGTGGGACACACTTGGCAGCAACAGCAGACAGAGGAGCCTGGGGGTCCTGCCATCCCCCACCCTGACCTGGGGACCCCTGCTGCCAGAGCTGGGGGACAAACTGGGCATCCTGGGCCGGAGCCACCATGGTGGCGGCAGGTTCTGGGGGTCCTGAGTGGGCAGGGGGCTTCCCAGGGGGATGGGGAGTGAGCCCAGCCTGCATCCACATCCTGAAAGAACAGTCCCCTCTGTTTGGCTCTGGGGGGGCCGGGGCGGCAGCCATGGTAGGGGGGAGAGGCCAGACTGGCTCCTGCTGACCCCCCCTCGCTGTGTGCCCCCTCAGGTGGCTCTTCTGGATGCTGCTGTCTGCCCTGAGGAGGAAGGTGGGTAGCAGGCAGTGCCTAGGTGTGTAGGAGGGAGTGCTGGCTCACTCGTGCAATGAACGTATCAGTCCTCTGCCCACCCTGCCTGTACCCCTTGTCACGCCGCTCCTCAGCTCCTTCCCAGCAGCTGCCTGTGTCCCCCAGGCTGGAGAGCTGCAGTGCTGCGCGCTGTCCCTGTGGAGTGGGGAACGGGGGCGTCTGTGGGCAGCACCCACTCCTGCAGGATCCCCCCTGCTCCTCCCAGGCAGGAGGGTGCTGAGACCTGTCAGCTCAGCTCACCAGCCAGGGCTGGGGTGGGTTTGCCCGCAGGGTTCCCGGAGGCCCTGTGCCCAAGGGAGGAGGGGGAGGAGGAGGAAGAGGAGGAGGAAGAGGACAGGGAGAGGAGCCCAAGGCCCGTCAGGTTCACGCTGGGAAACGAGATGCTGGGGCTGGGCCAGGACCCGGAGAGCGAGTTTCAGAGCCCCGATGCCGAGGTCTACATGCACTTCATGAGGAGCCACTGCTGCTACGATGCCGTCCCCACCAGCTGCAAGCTCGTCGTCTTTGATATCTCCCTGGAGGTGACAAAGCAAGGGATCGGCAGGGACAGGCGGGGGGGGAGAGGGCTCAGGGACCCCCTGACCCCCTCCCTACTCTGCCAGCAGATCAAGAAAGCCTTCGTGGCACTGGTGGCCAACGGAGTGCGTGCTGCCCCGCTCTGGGACAGCAAGACACAGAGCTTTGTGGGTGAGTGCCGGCTGCCTGGCCCCTTCCCCTGCCTGGCAGCGAGGGGTGCGGGCAGCGCTGCCAGCCCCACGTGTCTCCCCAGGGATGCTCACCATCACCGACTTCATCAACATTCTCCACCGCTACTACCGCTCACCCCTGGTGAGTGCAGTGGGGAGGGCACAGGGGTGGGGGCGGGCATGGGGCGGGGAGGGGCTGTCCCCATCTCTCCTGGTCCCCTTTTCGCTCTCCTGGTCTCCTCTTCATCACTAGCCCATGACCAGGGAATGCTCTGGCCCAGCCCAATTTTCAATTGGTGCCCCTCTGCCGGGCACCTAAGATGTGATCCCTGCACTTAGGGTGATGGGCTGGGATGTCTGGGGAAGGGGGCAGTGCCCCAGAGTCCCCTCGGTCCCCTGGGGGGCCACCATGACCAGGGCATCTTTCTGTCCTCAGGTTCAGATCTATGAGGTAGAAGAGCACAAGATTGAGACCTGGAGAGGTAAGAAACGGGGGATGATGAGGCTGGGGACATTGCACAGGGCTTGGAGGTGGACTCCAAGGGTGCATGAGGGGGCTGGGGACCCCCTCTCCCACCTCTCTCCTTTGGCAGAGGTGTACCTGCAGGGCTCCTTCAAGCCACTGGTCTACATCTCCCCGAGCAATAGGTGAGCACCTGCCCGCTGGGGGAGAGCACCCCCCGTGGGGGGTGTGCCCAGGATGCAGCCCTATCCCCCCACGGTGTCCCCGTCACCTGCAGCCTCTTCGATGCTGTCTACTCCCTGATCAAGCACAAGATCCACCGCCTGCCTGTCATCGAGCCCATCTCGGGCAATGTCCTGCACATCCTGACGCACAAGCGCATCCTCAAGTTCCTCCACATCTTTGTGAGTCTCACGGCTGTGTGTGCACACACATGGTGGGTGCGCAGGGGCACAAGCAAAGGTGTTGAGGTGCGTGCAGGTGCCAGCCCAGCCCTGCCCCTCCCTGCTGCAGGGCTCCACCATCCCCAAGCCACGCTTCCTGAAGAAAACAGTGCAGGAGCTGTGCGTTGGCACCTTCCGTGATGTGGCCGTTGTGCCCGAAACCGCCCCTGTCTACACCGCCCTGGAGATTTTCGTGGACCGCCGAGTCTCCGCCCTGCCCGTCATCAACGATGCCGGTACCTCGGGAGGCGGCCAGTGACTCCCCCATCTCCCTCTGACAGCAGCTCTGTCCCCATCCTGACCCGAAACCACCTTTTGGCCCTTGGGCTGCCCCTTGGAGTGCAGGGGGATCGTGGAGGATGGTCCTCAGGGCCCCCACCACAGCCCCTGCACTGTCTCTCTTTGCAGGGCAAGTGGTCGGCCTCTACTCCCGGTTCGATGTCATTGTGAGTACCCTGTGTGTTTGCACTCCCAGGCAGGAGTGTGGCCCCTTACACGCCACTGGTGGGGTGCTCACACCTGCCTGTGCCCGTGCAAACCCACCTCCCACGTGCAGCGGCACACACGTGCCGGCGCAGCTCTGCCCCGTGCATCCCCGAGGCTCAGTGTCCCCCCCTGCACTGGCACAACGGGGTGTGAGGACCCGCTGGGGCGCTGAGCGGGGCCACCTCTTCGGCAGCACCTGGCAGCCCAGAAGACCTACAACAACCTGGACATCAGTGTGCGGGACGCACTGCGGCAGCGCACCATCTGCCTGGAGGGGGTCCTCACCTGCTACCCCCACGAAACCATGGAGGACGTCATTGACCGCATGGCCAAGGAGCAGGTGAGCACCCGGGGCGCCTCGCACCAGCGCCAGCCCCCCCTGCACCTGCTGCCCAACCCACCTGTGCTGCTCTGCCTTGCGCCCACAGGTCCATCGCCTGGTTCTGGTGGATGAGAACCAGTACCCGCGGGGCATCGTCTCCCTCTCCGACATCCTCCAGGCCCTTGTGCTCACTCCCGCAGGTATCGATGCTCTTAACTCTTAGCCTGCGACGCTCCATCTTTCTCCACTTGCACCCTCCATTTCTCTCCACTTCAGGTAGGCGCCGTCCCCCGCCGCTGCGCGCCTGTCCCCTCCCCACCGCTGGCTCACCTGCACCTCGTCACCTCCCTGCTGGGGCCACCGGTCTCCACCCCGGCCAAACTGGCTCCAGGGGATGGAGAAGGCTGGGGCTGAGGTTCGGCAGTGCTGGGTGCCCAGGTGGGGATGGCAGGACCTGGATGCTGTTTGTCCCTGGAGACACGAGGATCGCAGGGGATCCCTTCTGGGGCCCTGATCCCGGTGTCTGTGAAGAAGGATGGGGGCACCTGTCACGGAGACACCCCCAGACCCCTGTCCAGGCAGCGTGTGGGATGCAGGTTTTGTAGGTCCCTGGGCTTTGGGCTGGATGAGGGGTCTGGGGTGTGATGCACCCTGAGACAAAAAGCCCTTTTTTGACCTTGCCTCAAAGTCCCCCCTGAGACCGGAGCCCCTCCAGTGCCACTCCTGGGGGACACAGAGGGGCCAGACCCTCACTCACACCCTGGACATGCTTCCCACCACTAGCCATGTGCCCAGTACGGCCGACCCATGGGCCATGGCTGGCAGAGCCCACTGCCCCCCTCCAGCCCTGAAACCGCTTGCTCCAGGGCCAGGGCTTGCTCCTGGGCTGCGCTGGGGCTGCTGCCCAGCTGCCCGCGCCTGGCTCCAGCTCACCCACAGCCTGGTGAGTCCTCGCTGGCGATGGGCGGGCACTGCACTGGCACCCACCGTGGCACCCATTTAGGGATGAACTGGGGAGGGGGGGGAGAGCTGGCCCCTGTGCCTAGCTGCTTCCCAAAGATAATGATGGGGGTTTTGGGGTGGTGGTAGGGAACAGGCTGGGGACTGCCCCATGCCCATCAGTTTCCCCCCTGCGGTGCCCAGTTTCTTGACACAGAAGGGGACTGGGAGTGGTGTGTGTGAACCATACCAGACACGGGGCACTCCCTACTCCATTTCCCCATCGGGGTGCCTTCATTCGCCCCATCCCTTGGTGCTCATGGGGGTGGCTGTGTCAGGAGCTGCAGGGGGACACCAGGATGTCCCCCTCCAGGCCAGCCCCCGCCCCGGGGCTCACATCCAAACCAGGAATGGGGACGAGACCCCGCTGTCTGCCGCAGGGTGCCCAGCCCAGTGCCAGTGCCCGCCGGGGGGTTACGGCCTCGCACGCTCTCTCGTCCCACAGGCATTGACCGAGCCTCTCTCTGAAGACACCAGGGAATTGCCACCATCTTGTCTGACTCAGGAGCCTCTTGCATGGCCCTGGGGCTGTGGATGGAGGCTCAGGCCCCAGAGGCTCTCCACGGGGAGGACCTTGCCTGCCCACCCCAGTCCTGGGGCTCGTCTTGAGTCCGGGGCCAGATCCTGCTGGCCTTGGGGAGGCAGGGAGCAGGGAAAAGGGGGCCTGGGGGTGCCTCCTGCCAGCAAGCTCACAGTGATGCTCGATGGGCACCGTGCTGGAGGAGCCATGCCATGCCCACAACTGGGCACGGGGGACGCTCACAGCCCTGCCCGGCCCCAGGGTACTCGGCCACCCTGCTCCCGTCCTGCTGCCGGATTCGAGTGCTTCGGCCACGGCTCCTCTCCGGCGAGCACGGTCCTGCCAGCTGTGCCCGGTGCCTGGTAGCGTAGGCTCAGCTGCACACACAGGCTTGTTTATTGTAGGGTCACGCGGGGCTGGAGCTCCCTGGCAAAGGCGCAGCCTGTGCCAGAGCCGGCGCCAGGATGGGCACTTGCACGGAGACCCTGTGCATGTTTTGGGGTGGGCGAGGGGTATTTATTTGCTGGTCTGTTCAGACTTCTTGTAATAAATCAGCCTGCTCCAGGAACTGCTGCCTCACCTTTCTGGGGCGCAGCCGGGCATGGCTCCTCCAGACAGAGCCGGGCTGAGGAGGGGGTGCCAGCTGCTCAGCAGGGCTGGGGGACCCAGCATGGGATGCCAGTGAGGGTGGAATGGGCACAGGGTGGCACCTCTACCCATGTGGGTAGAGCCAGGGGGACGGGGACATGGGGCATGAAGCCTTGATAGCTCCACCATGGCTGTGGCGTGCAGGTCCCCTCGGAGACACCCGAGGGACAAGCAGCCGTCGTGCCAGCAAGGTTTCTGCCTGCTGCTTCTCTCAGTCCAGTTAGGATCCTCAAGCACCAGGAAGGTGACAGGGGTACCCTAACAGGGAACCCCATACCCCAGCCCTCCAGGACCCCGCGCAAGTGGCAACGCATGCCCTACCTGTGGCTGCTGCCAGCTCCCAGCCCCTGCGCTGGCCCTGGCCCTCAGCCCCACGTCCCCCCACTCGGGATGGGGGCAGCTGAGCCGATCCTCCTCTGCTGCTTTGCTCAGAGCCAGTCCTGCCCCCGTTCCCGTGACCCTGTATCAGCATCTCGGTGAACTAATGGCTGATAGCAAAAGGTCCTGGGTGCTCCACACCCCTCCTGCGCTGGCTGGCCCTGCCAGGGACATGACACCAGTGCTGGGTGGTGACAGGCCTCCTCCCCATCGCGGGGGACAAGCTGTGTTATTGCTCTGCTTGCCTGGGGCCAAGCCTGGCTCTATCTCTCTGGACCAGGCGCAGACCCCCAACCCCCACCGGCGCTTGACCCTCCCCTGGGAGGCAGGGGGGAAACTGAGGCACAGAGAAATGGCTGAGGCCAAGGTCAGCTGTTCAGAGAGGACCCAGATGTCCTGGCTCCAGGCACAGATCCACGCGCAGCTACACAAGGACAGGACGAAGGAGACACTGAATGGCTGCAAGCCCCCCTCCCTGCTTCCCCCCTGCCCTGGCAGAGCTCCTGGGCCCCTGACATTGCCCAGCCGGGCACAGGATGGGGGGGACACAACCCCTCGCGGCGTGTGAAAGGCACAGCAGTTCCCCAAGCCTCCTGCTGATTTGGGGTAGGGGGATACTAGTGCCCCAGGGGCAAATTGGAGGCATCCCTCATCCCCCTCATCTTCCCCACAGCAGGGCTGGGAGCCCCCCAGCCCAAGCTGGGCAGGAGGTGGGTGCTGGGGTGGGCTTGCCTTCCTGCCCCTCCTCGTGGGGCAGCGGGGGTCCCCACGCAGCACCCAGGGCGGGGGAGCGGGCGCGCAGTCAGGGGGCCCCCGGGCGAGCGATGAACTCCAGGTTGATGGGCTTGTCAGCCACCAGGACGATGCGGGACACGGATGTCACCTCCACGCCGCGGGGGTCTGGCCGCACTTCGAACGCCTGGATGATCTGTGGGGAGAAGGGGGTTGGCAGTGCCTTGGGGACTCCCTGGGGCCCCCCATCCCAGCTCGTGGTGAGTTACCCAGGGTGGGGGGGTCCCTACTCACCCTGGCGAGGGCCAGGTGCATCTCCAGCTCAGCGATGCGGCGGCCAACGCAGGCGCGGACCCCGTAGCCGAAGGGGATGGAGCTGAAGGGGTGGTGGGGGGAGCCGTGGCCCCGGAGCCAGCGCTGGGGCAGGAACCGCTCGGGCTCGGGGAAGTAGGTCTCGTCGTGGGACATTGCGTAGTGCGCCAGGACGAAGAGGGTCTGTGGGGCAAGAAGTGGGGGCAGTTAACGATCCCTTGTCCAGCCCCACTGAGTGCAGGGGGGGATCCCCACAGCACAGCACCCACTCACATTCTTGGGGAAGAGGTAGTCTCCGATGACAATGTCCTTCTCATAGAAGACCCTGGCATTGGTGGGCACCACGGGGTAGACCCTGGGATATGGGAAGAGTTAGTGGGGGAACAGGACCCATCTGGAAACCCCAGAGGGAGCGAGACACGGGGAGGGCAAGGGGGAACACCTCCTGCTGCTCAGCAGCTCCATTCCCCTCCCCAGGGAGGGGACAGATGGATGAAGCCCTGAAGGGCCAAAATCCAGCCCTGCACCCTGCCCGGCTGGTGCATCTCCCAGTGTAGGGGGAAGAAGGGACTGCCCCTGTGGAAGGGGTTGGTGACTGGGACCCCGGGACAGGGGCAAGGCTAGTCTGTACCTCAGCGTCTCCTTGATAACGGCCCGAAGCATTGGCATCTTGGGGATATCCTCAGCACCAGGAAACCGGTTGGCAGGCACGACGGCTTTCAGCTCCTGGTACAGGGTCTCCTGGATGCCTGGGTCCCGGGAAAGGTGGTACAGGGCCCAGGACAGCGTGTTGGAGGTCTGGGGGAGTGGAGGAGCAAGAGGAGTGAGGAAAATGGGGCCCGTACCCAAGCAGCCTTGAGCCAAGCATAGCACCAGAACGGCACCAGACAGCCCCTGCTCCGGTGTGCAGGGAAGCCAGCGAGCACGGGGGAAACGGAGGCAAGGGGCAGGACAGGGAACAGAGTGGAGAACAGAGTCTGTACCGACCGATCCCTGAGGGTTTGCCCCTGTGGGGCATCATCCCTCCAACCACCAGCCCAGAGCTCGCAGGGGCTGGGGAACACAGCTGACCCGGACCCCGTGGCTCCCCCCAGGCATGGAGCTCAGCGGGGATCCCCCGACAGCAGCTGCCCGGCTCTCACCGTGTCCACGCCAGCCAGCAGCAGCTCGGCCACGCTGCCATAGACCTCGTCCAGGCTGAGCCTGCCGCTGGCCAGCAGGTAGCTCAGGTAGCCGGACACCTCCTTGCCCCGCTCCACCTGCCCCTCCAGCTCCTCCATCTTTCGGTCAATCAGGGTCTTGCCTGCAGTGACAGAGAGCGGGACCCAGCGCTGACAGAGTGAGGGCAGCCAAAAGGACACACGGCTTGGGGACTGCCCCCCCTTTTGAGGGTCCTTCAAGAGTCCGGGCCCACTGTGCCAGGCCCCCATTGTCACCGCTCACCAAAGGCGAAGATGGTGTCCCAGCTGTCCAGGTAGCGGTCCCAGAAGGGCAGGACCTTGCGGCTCCATCGGGGCAGGACAGTGGCGAAGATGGAGTTCTTGAACATGAGGTTGATGGAGTCGATGAAGCGCTGGGTCTCGGCGGGGACCTGCTGCTTCAGGCACCCGATGCGGGTCTCAAAGAGGATATAGGAGATCCCTGCGGGGGACAAGCCGCATCCAGACCCCCGCGGGGATGGGAAGAGCAGGGCAGGGCAGGGGCGAGGGGGAGGACCCCCCTACCTTCCAGGGCGAAGCGGTAGAGCAGGTTGGCCACGTCCCCCACCAGCACCCCTGAGGGGCTACGGCTCCGCTCGTCCCGCAGCCGCACCATCAGGTCCGACACCACCTCCCCGATGGCGTCCGCGTACAGCACCGCCTCCGAGGGCTTCAGCAGCCGCTTGTTGAGGACCTGGCGCAGGCGGTACCAGCGCTCCCCTTCCCTGCGCGGGGACGGGGCTCAGCTCAGCGCCGGGGACACGGCCGGGCAGGGGGCAGCAGCTGTCAGCAGTCTCTCAATCCCTGGGTGCATCCTCCCCATGCCGGGCTGGAACCACCCCGGGGGTCTTTCCACCCGCCACGGCCATGCCCTTCTGCTTAGGGGGAACACGCTGCTTGCAGGAGAGGGAGCAATGTGAGCTGCCACCCGGGCCCTACACCCGAGGAAGGGATAGGAGCCGCCTGCCGCCCCGCAGAGCATAGCCAAGGCAGGACTCACTCGGTGAAGGGTCCGTAGGGCAGGTGCCGGGTGTCCCGGTGCTCCTTCCACAGGGCCATGTCGCTCCGCATGGGATACTTGCCCTCCTGCCGTAGCAGCTGCTCCAGCACCACTGGGCTCCCGATGTTGATGTTCTCGTAATGCCCGAAGGTCGACTTCCAGATGGGGCCATAAATGCGCCGGGACATCAACTGCGATGGACCAGAGCGTGACAGGGTGAATGGGACAGGGCCAGCACTGAGGCTGGATCAGTCCCTCCCTGCCCTGGTGCTGCCCTGCATGTGTCTGGCATGCTCTGCACCCATCCCAGGGACCCCTCAGCACCAACTGGACCCAAGCACCCGCCTATGACCCCGCAAGCTGGTACCATCCTTGAAGCGCTCTACAGACGGCTTGGGCTGGTGTCACCAGGCACGTGTCCTCTACCAGCACTAAGCACACCAGACACTGACCCCTGGCACAGGCTGGCACATCCCTCACCCACCCCAGAGATGCATGGAGGGCCTGGCGGGTCTTTTGGGGAAGCAAGACCAAGAGGGGACAGCAGGGACAGGGACAACTGCCAAGAACAGGGCTCTGCCCAGTTGCAGGGCTATTGCAGCGGCTGTCGGCAGGTCCAAGCCCTGCTGCTTCCAGCATGGCCCCAGCTCTGCTCCACCTGGGGACAACAGTCCCCTGCACGGGTCCTTGAACCCACCACCCGATAAGGATGGTTAATGATCAGCAGTGGGAGGGCAGCGCCAGGCTGGGGCAGGACTGGGTTGCTCCCAGGGCAGGCTGCCACCACCAGGGCATGGCCCTGGGGTCACGGGCTCACAAGCCAGGTCGGGGACATCCACCACCATCAGCCTTGCTCTGGCTCTGCCAGCCACAGCTCCCCTCTCCTCGGCTGCACCCAAGGGTGCCCTTCCCACCGGGGAGCTCTGTGACCCCTGAGTGCATCCCTTGGGGGCAGCCGGGCACTCCTTGGCAAGTGGATCTGCACAGGGCCATGTCCAAGGGGTGCTTTCCATCCCACCCAGGCACCACCAGAGCCCCTGCGGAGCAGGGCCAAACCTGGGGGGCTGTGAGGGACCTAGGAGGGAAGCCCTGGTACCCGTTCCCCGCGGCTGCGGGGATGCACGTGGTACAATCTCCCTTGGTGACTGACTGCATCGCAGCCTGCGCCCGGATTCAGCTGGATTCGTCACCGCGAGGAGACGTTCCTCGCGCGTGGTGGCAGAAGGAGGGGGAGGGAACGGCCACCCTGGTGCTGCAGGCGGCTCGCCAGGCGAACACGCTGCGTGGGGCC